TGGTGAGCAAGGCGTTGGTGAATGCAGTATCTCACCAAATGATAAGAGATGGACCGACTCCGGACTCTGACCAGGAGAGCGGGAAATACGATCCTCCAGGCTTGGGGGATAACGACGACTTTGACCCTGAAAGACCGCAATTGGATGAAACGTTTATTGGTTCTGATGTATGAAGGTCATAGGGAAAATCCTAAAAAGAAGACCTATGATTGGATGTAGATAAATAGAACTGATCTCTGAGATTAAACATGTTTGTAAATACATTTATCCTGAAGATGAAACCATTTAGTCAAAAGGGTGGATTGATAGATGAATTTGTGTATTAAAAATAATGACTAAAGAATTTCACCCCAAACACAGTATAAATGTTAGAATTATCATGTAGTGTCAACCCACTAACAGAGGGGGCGTTACTAACCATTCAAGGGGGAAGGCGGGAACTGTTTAAGAAAGGTGGGAGGAGCATAGTGTCTTTGTTTGTCAAGGAGTATAAAAACAGGATATTTGTGTTTTTGAGCAGAGCTCTCCTTAAATAAAATTTACTGATAATTACTTGTGGATTGTGGACCTTGAATCATTGATGATTAAAACCAGAGCTTTACAACCTCTGGTAATGATTCAAGCTTAGGTTGAATTAGAGATAAAAATTCACGTGACAGTAGTCCACAATCATCTCCTGTTGCATTATTTGTTCTGTTGTTTCTGGAGGATTAAATTGAAATTGCAACCAACTTTCTATGGCTTGTTTTAGAAATAGTGATATTTGGGAGATTATTTCCTTTTCAAATAACTGAAAGTGAGAGGTTGTAATCTGAATAAAGGGAAAAAGGCCATTCTTGAACATTGGGTGAGACAATCTTACTAATTCGCTAGAGAACCAGTTCGGATTTAAGTATAACTTTTGTATGACTGAAGCTTTTAGTGATAGGACTAATGCTTTAATATTTAATCATTTCTGTCTTCCGAATTCATATTCATTATATAAATTGGCCCGTTTAATTTTGTCTGGCTTGCCATTCCAAATAAATTTGAATATTTTTTTCTCATATAATTTAAAAAACGGTTTGCTAGGCGTAGTTAAGACCATAAGCAAATAGGTAAACTGGGATAATACTAAAGAGTTAATCTCCTGAGTGGCGCAGTGGTCTAAGGCACTGCATCGCAGTGCTAGTTGTGCCACTAGAGATCCTGGTTCGAATCCAGCCTCTGTCGTAGCCGGCCGTGACCGGGAGACCCATGGGGCGGCGCACAAGTCGTCCAGGGTAGGGGAGGGAATGGCCGGCAGGGATGTAGCTCAGTTGGTAGAGCATGGCGTTTGCAACGGCAGGGTTGTGGGTTCGATTCCCACGGGGGGCCAGTATGAAAAATATAATGTATGCACTCACTAACTGTAAGTCGCTCTGGATAAGAGCGTCTGCGAAATGACTAAAATGTTAAATCAGAGTTATTTTTCCACAAATTTACAGGTATTTACCTTTCCATGGTAGCAAAATCTTATCTATTTTTTGCTAACTTTCTATTAAAATGTATTTAAAGTGAGATCATTTATTGCATTTGGGATATGTATTCCGAGTATATCCACATCACCATCAGACCATTTTATTGGTAAACTACACGGTAATGTAACATTTTTATTTTTTTGTGATCCAATACGTAATATAGTACATTTATCATAATTTGGTTGTAATCCAGAGAGGTTAGAAAATGTATCTAGTTCCTCTATGAGACTGTGGAGGGATTCAAGTTGTGGATTTAAAAGAAAACATGAATCATCAGTGTAGAATGACACCTTTGTTTTTAAACCCTGGATTTCTAATCCCTTGACATTATTGTTGGATCTGATTTGAATAGCTAACATCTCGATGGCCATAATAAATAGATATGCCGATAGTGGACAACCTTGTTTCACTCCTCTTGACAGTTTAAAACCTTCTGAGAAATAGCCATTATTTACTATTTTACACCTAGGGTTACTATACATGATTTTAACCCAATTTATAAGAGATTCTCCAAAATTGAAATGCTCCAGGCATTTATACAGTAACCCCAGTCGTACTTTATCAAATGCCTTTTCGAAGTCTGCTATGAATAGCAGGCCTGGTTTCCCAGATTTGTCATAGTGTTCTATTGTTTCCAGTACTTGCCTTATATTATCTCCAATGTATCGTCCATGTAAAAAACCTGTCTGATTAGAATGAATAATGTCCGACAATACCTTTTTAATTCTATGCGCTATACATTTTGCTATAATTTTTGCATCACAACACTGAAGTGTAAGGGGCCTCCAATTTCAGTAATAATTAAATCAGACCTTCTTCTTGAGTGTCTGATAATCTACCATTTACATAGGAGTGGTTAAAACATGCTAATAACGGTCCTCTGAGTATATCAAAAAAGGTTTGGTATACCTCGACTGGTATGCCATCCAACCCTGGAGTTTTCCCGTACTTAAAGTCTTTAATTGCATCCAGAAGTTCCTCCTCTGTAATTTCACCTTCACATGAGTCTTTCTGTATGGCTGTTAATTTTACATTATCAATACAAAAAAATCTCTACAATTAGCTTCAGTTAGAGGAGATGAAGGCGACTGAAACGAAAACATATGCTTAAAGTACTTTGTTTCCTCCTTCAAAATATCATTTGGTGAATCATGGGTGACTCCGTCATTTGTAACCAGTTTCAGTAAATTCTTTTTGGTAGCATTTCTATGTTGAAGATTTAAAAATAATTTGGTTCATTTTTCCCCATATTCCATCCAGTTTGCTTCATTTTTATAATATATTACACTTGATCTTTCTTGAATATGTTTCTCCATTCTTTTAGTTTTTCCTCTAATTTATTCTGAGCCTCTATGTTACAGTTTTTATTGCTATCTATCTGTTCTGTTAGACCTATTTCCTTTGTTAGTATGGACGCTTTTGTTTTCGAGATGATTACTGAATTGCATGGCCTCTAAAGGCACATTTAAAGGTGTCCCATACAATAAGGGGATTTTCTGTACCTATGTTATGTCGGAAAAAATCAGTTATACATTTCTCTGTCCTAGTTAAAAACAAGTTATCATCCAATAGGCTTTGATTAAATGTCCAATATCCTCGCCCACGTGGAAATTCAGTAAGAGTAATGTATATGCCAATTATATGATGGTCCGACCGCATTCTGTCCCCTATCAGCACTTTTTAAACTTTTGGTGCCAACGAGAATGAAATAAGAAAGAAGTCAAGATGACTAGCTTGATTGAGTCTCCGCCATGTATATCTTACTAGATCAGGATATTTAAGCCTCCGTATATCTACTAGTTCTAATGTATCCATGACATTCACGATTTCTTTAAGAGCATGAGGGTGATAGTTTGTAGTGTGATTTCCTTTACGGTCCATTGAGCTATTTAAAACAGTATTATAATCTCCCACCATAATAATAGAGTCTTGAATTGCTTACAGGGTTGATAATTTATTATATATATTGTCAAAGAAGTGTGGATCATCATTATTTGGTCCGTAAAGGTTAATGAGCCATATCTGTTTATGGTCCAATAACATATTTAAAATAATCCATCTACCTTGCGCATCTGTTTGGACAATTTGCACATTCGGATCGAAATTACTGTTAATTAATATCATCACCCCTTTTGAGTTTTTTTTTCCCATGGGAGAAGTATATTTGCCCCCCCCCCCCCCCCCCCCCCCCTCCCTCCCCCCTCCCCCCTCCCCATTCCTTTTTCCACGCAACTTCATCTAGAATTGTTGAATGAGTTTCCTGTAAACAATATATATTATATTCAGACCGTAATCTTGCTCTGAAGAAACCTAGAACAGCTCGGGTCAAGGATACATACAGTGCCTTCAGAAAGTATTCACACCCCTTGACTTACAACCTGAATTTAAAATGGATTCACTTTAGATTTGTCACTGGCCTACACACAATACCCCATAATAACAAAGTGGAATTATGTTTTTCGAAATGTTTACAAATTAATTAAAAATGAAAAGCTGAAATGTCTTGAGTCAATAAGTATTCAACCCCTTTGTCATGGCAAGCCTAAATAAGTTCAGGAGTAAAAATGTGCTTAACAAGTCACATAATAAGTTGCATAGACTCACTCTGTGTGCAATAATAGTGTTTAACACGATGACTGCCTCATCTCTGTACCCCACACATACAATTATCTGTAAGGTCCCTCAGTCGAGCAGTGAATTTCAACCACAGATTCAACCACAAAGGGAGGTTTTCCAATGCCTCGCAAAGAAGGGCACATTTGGTAGATGTGTTAAATAAAAAAATTAAATAAAAAATATATGTATTATATGATAGGATAGGAACAAGGGTTTTAGTCTTGATAACCTTGAAACCCCTGGTTGAATAGAATGTAGGCTACCATCGAATAGGCTACTGCCTGGCACAATGTCTCTCCAAAGTTCTATTGTACTGTCAACAGTGTTTTATTGTCATGTCTGAGACAAGTGTTTTCTATTTCAGCATACACTATACCAAGGTCAGACATATTGATGGTGCTGTATGTGACAGTTTTGCTATGTGGGTGATTTTTTATCCCGTGAACTCCAGTTCCACTCCCAGGGATAAAACTGACACCTGAAAGGCAAAGCTGCACGAGAGCGAGGGAAAAATCATCCCATAGGAAAACGACTCCTACTCAACTTTCTATTATTGTGTATTTCTGATATGCATATGAATAATTGAAGATGCAAACAGCTTGGATTGTGGAGCTAGCTTTTTTTGTAGAGCTAACATTTGTCTGTTTACTTTATCATTAGAACCAAATCTATATAAAACACCCTCTCTTTGTTTAACGTTTGATCAGTTATTTGTAGTTGTTGAAATACAGTACCATTTGTTTGCAACAGATTCAACATTGATGCTTAAATACTTCCTACCACATTACAACTTGACTATTGACAAATTAGTTGTTATTAGTTAGTTTCACTGAATCTAAATTTGAATGATCTAAAACAATGACAATGTTTAAAACTATGGTACTTTTGGTACTGGCCCCCCTCGTCCCCCAGCCGGTTCTGACTCAGGTTGAGGGGCAGGCTGGAGTTCTTGGCCAGGGCATAGGCTATAGCCTGGGCCCCGGCCCCCGAATGTTGTTGTCGTTGGCAGTGAGGCTCTCCAGCTTGCTCCAGTTTAGTTTCATTTACACATAATGAATATACAATAATGACAAGAGAAAACGTGATAAAAGGGTACACATGTGCAGGTGAGGTAGGCAACCCAACAAAATCTCACCTGTTGAGCAGCTTGCCCGGGCACCCCGGTCCCCAATGAGTTTGTGGGGGAGGTTGAGCTACCTGAGGGACGGGTGGTCCAGGAGGTTGTTCACCAGCTGACGACACTTCTCGTCGTCCACTTTGCTTTGGTGCACCTGCAACGATAGGGGAGATTATGGGTTTAAAATCAGTCTCAAGAGCAGGGAGACTTGGCAGATAGGTTTATGTGGCAATAATGTATAGCTTTAGCTTAACCTGCCCAGATGTTAAAAAATATATGAAATAAAACAACAAGCTGGAATCAAATTTAATTATTTCCTCTGCTACAACAAATTACAAATATGTGATGTTGTGGTATATTATGCCATGTAGCCAAGAAGCAATGAATCCCTGTGCTGTGGCATAATAACAGTTGTTTCAAACAGACCTTGGCCAGCGACTCGCAGACGCGATAGATGAACTCAGAGATTCCTCTCAAACTTTGTGCAACAGCCCTTGACCCGGTAGACCACATGCAGCTCCTCCAGGTGGCTCAGCTTGTCCAGCAGGATGCCAAAGTCAAAGTGGTCCATGGATGGCCCGTCCATGCCCATGTCGCTGGCTGAGTCCGGGCTGTCGTCCTCTTCAGACTTCTGGAGCTCCTTAATGGGCGGCAGCAGCTGTGAGACATCCAGCCTCTTCACGTAGTTCCGGCACAGAGGCACCATGCCCAGCATCATCTTAGGGTCGGTCACATCGAGGATGAAGAGCTCGATGATGTTCTCCAGGTGCCTCGACTATGAGGAGAGGTCGCACAGGCCCCAGTGCTGTTTGCAGTAGCCGTCGTCGCTGATCAGGTTGGCGTGCCACCTGCAGGGGCAGGGAGGAAGAGAGCCTCTCCAGGACGTAGTCTTTGTGGCTGGGGAGGATGGGCTTCTCTGTGACAAAGGCATAAAGAGGTTGTATTCTGTGATCAAATAAACAACTGAATTGATTAATTGACTGACAATTGACTGAATAAATTACATACAATATGTAGAACAAAACATACCTTCAAAGTTTCTTACTATGTGTTGCAGGCAGAGGTTGGATAAAACGGGCATTACTGCAAGGGACCACTCTGGATCTTTTGCAATGATCCTGTGCATGTTCCTTGGGTCTGCAGCCACTGGGGGATACATGCCAGCCCAAGGGGACTTGGACATTTGCAGTCATGTTAGGGATAATTATGAATTACCTGTTCAAAATGAGAAACATTTTACTGAATGAGAAACTTTTTACTGAACTTAACCCGAGAGGACAGAGATTCTGCAAATGAAATGTAGCTCATTAATGGACTAAAGGAGCCTAACATTACTTATTGTAGCGGGTGATTTGGACGGAGTCAGGCGCAGGAGGTGTAAATCACAGAATAATTATTTATTCGGCCAATACAGCGGTTCACAGCAATGCGTAAACACTAACACAAGGTGCACTGGGAAACCACACGGTGAATATCCCATCATGAGGTAATAATGCCCCCACTGATCGCCCCCCACACAATCACCTCAATCCAGGGCATGGAAATTATCGGACTGATGAGTTATATGAACCGGTGTGCAACAGACAAAACTTGATTATAGAAGAGGGGTGGGCGGACGACAAAGCCACCTCCCTACACGGCAGGAGACGCTCGAGGATGCGACGGTGAATCCCGCAACAGGAGGACGACAACTTCACTTGACCCAGCACCGCTCCTCCGCCATACCCCCCCCTCCCGAGGTACGAGCCCCCACCTATGCGTCGAATCCAGGATGGAACGGACGGGTTCGAGTCCGGGGGCGTAGACTCCACACCCAGACTCTGGAGCGGCCAGCACCGCCTGAGGAGAGATCGTAAACGAGGGGTAATACGGTATCAGGGATTCAGAACGTATACGGAATTTTACATACACCTTAGCCAAATACATTTAAACTCAGTTTTTCACAATTCCTGACATTTAATCCGAGTAAAAATTCCCTGTTTTAGGTCAGTTAGGATCACCACTTTATTTTAAGAATGTCAAATGTCAGAATAAGAGTAGAGAGAATGATTTATGTCAGCTTTTATTTATTTCATCACATTCCCAGTGGGTCAGAAGTTTACATACACTCAATTAGTATTTGGTAGCATTGCCTTTAAATTGTTTAACTTCGGTCAAACGTTTCGAGTAGCCTTCCACAAGCTTCCCAACAATAAATTGGGTGAATTTTGGCCCATTCCTCCTGACAGAGCTGGTGTAACTAAGTCAGGTTTGTAGACCTCCTTGCTCGCACACGCTTTTTCAGTTCTGCCCACAACTTTTCTATAGGATTGAGGTCAGGGCTTTGTCATGGCCACTCCAATACCTTCACTTTGTTGTCCTTATGCCATTTTGCCACAACTTTGGAAGTATGCTTGGGGTCGTTGTCCATTTGGAAGACCCATTTGCGACCAAGCTTTAACTTCCTGACTGATGTCTTGAGATGTTGCTTCAATATATCCACATACTTTTCCTTCCTCATGATGCCATCTATTTTCTGAAGTGCACCAGACCCTCCTGCAGCAAAGCACCCCCACAGCATGATGCTGCCACCCCCGTGCTTCACGGTTGGGATGGTGTTCTTCGGCTTGCAAGCCCTTCCTTTTTCCTCCAAACATAACGATGGTCATTATAGCTAAACAGTTTTTGTTTCATAAGACCAGAGGACATTTCTCAAAAAAGTACGATCTTTGTCCCCACCGTAGTCTTGCTTTTTTATGGCGGTTTTGGAGCAGTCGCTTCTTCCTTGCTGAGCGGCCTTTCAGGTTATGTCGATATAGGACTCGTCTTACTGGGGTTATAGATACTTTTGTACCTGTTTCCTCCAGCATCTTTACAAGGTCCTTTGCTGTTGTTCTGGGATTGATTTGCACTTTTCACACCAAAGTACGTTCATCTCTAGGAGACAGAACGCGTCTCCTTCCTAAGCGATATGACGGCTGCGTGGTCCCATGGTGTTTATACTTGCATACTATTGTTTGTACAGATGAACGTGGTACCTTAAATCATTTGGAAATTGCTCCCAAGGATGAACCAGACTTGTGGAGGTCTACAAAAAAAATTCTGAGGTCTTGGCTGATTTATTTTCATTTTCCCATTATGTCAAGCAAAGAGGCACTGAGTTTGAAGGTAGGCCTTGAAATACATCCACAGGTACATCTCCAATTGACTCAAATGATGTCAATTAGCCTATTTGAAGCTTCTAAAGCCATGACATCATTTTCTGGAATATTTCCAAGCTGTTTAAAGGCACAGTCAACTTAGTGTATGTAAACTTCTGACCCACTGGAATTGTGATACAGTGAATTATAAGTGAAATAATCTGTCTGTAAACAAATGTTGGAAAAATTACTTGTCATGCACAAAGTAGATGTCCTAACAGAATTGCCAAAACTATAGTTTGTTAACAAGAAATGCATGGATTGGTTGAAAAACGAGTTTGAATGACTCCAACCTAAGTGTATGTAAACTTCCGTCTTCAACTGTATTTGGCTAAGGTGTATGTAAACTTCCGACTTCAACTGTAAGTCCAACAAAACAGCTACAACAATTTTCTTATTATCAATTTATTTCAGTCATCAGTCAAGTGCCATACATGTTGAGTGCCCTTCCCTATAAGCGTGCTGAAAGTCAGTTGTTAATTTGTTTAATGTGAAATAGCATTGTATTTGGTCAAACACCACTTCTTTCCAAAAGTTTACTAAGGGTTGGTAACAGGCTGATTGGTCGGCTATTTGAGCCAGTAAAGGGTGCTTTGCTGTGGAGGAATCTGTTTATAAACTCGTTTTACTCCAACGTTTGTAAACAAAGAAAATGTAAATAAACACTGTATAGCCTCAAAACATGGTTAAAACTATAATTTTGATATCATGGATGATCCTTGCATCCATAGCTCTGTCTATGAATTTGAGAGTGATTACAATTCTCCAGCCCCATCCCTCAACTTTTTAGCGAACCACTTTGTTATTGTTTCTACTGCTGATTTCTGCTTTAACATCCCTATTACCACAACAGAAGTAACAGTACGTTTTTAATCTTTATCATGATCTTACCTGACACTGTGGCCCATATACCACCCAGCTAGCACATAACGTTCTGAGAACCATATGTTTGTTAGAGCTTGTGAGAGCGTGGTTGTCCTATTGTTATTTTGCATATAACCTTCCCACAACTTTCTGGGAACGGTGCAGGATAGTTGCTTGGCTCTGGAACATTCTCAGCACATTTAAGAAACTTTACAAAAAAACGTAATTTTCTTGGAATGTTCTCCAATAGTTCAGAGAACATTCAGAAACAATGTTCTTCTGTGAGAATTTCAGTACTTATATCCGTCCTATAGGTTTCCTCATAATTCTATTTAAAGTCACGTTCTCAAATTGTTCTGAGAACGTTGAGAAAACTTTTCATAACAACCACAAGAAAACTTAAGTAACGTTCAGAGAACGTTCTAAGAATGTTATTTTAAAAAATATATACATTCTGTTCTCTGCATCAACAAAGTTATTTCTGTCCTCCATCTTGTTAGGTGTGTTCAGGTGTGTTGGCCGCGCCCAGTAATTGGCCATACCGGATCTTAGTAAGTGCTTGTTTCCTTTGAAATGGGGTCTGTTTAAATAGACTAAAATTAACAGCTTTGTATAAGAAAACATGGCATGCTAGCGCCATCCTGGTGGCACAGTGGACTACTTCAATGGCTAGAGAATAAAATATTATAAGTTAAAATCTCACTGATGCTGTGTCACAATAAAAAAGAAATGTGTTTGCATGATTAATGCCTAAGGAAAATAATTTCAATGTGTCCTATTTGTGCTTGGAGTTAAAAGAAATGAACCAAAATAAGCTAGCAGTGTTCTTAAAAGTCTTATTGAAACATTCAGTGAACGTTTTAAGGAAGTTATTCAAAAACCTCCAAATAACCTATAATTTATGTTCTCGGACTGCTAATGAAACCTCCCATGAAAACTTTCCGGGAACCATAGTAAAAATGTTCTCAGAACCTGGTCCGTTCTCAGAAGGTTTAAAAAACGTACAAATGCAACAAGTCAAAATGATAAGATTACATAAAGGGGCTCTGGGATTATTTACTTTAGAAGGTGCCTATTCCGCTTACCGGGATACTGTATAATCTGATGTGTCTGAAGTATGATTCTCTATACGCATGGTTTTATCAAGACTTCCTGCACACAGTAAACTCGATTAAGATTAAGAATTTTTAGGACTGATTAAGATGTGGCATAGTGCAAACTAAGTACATGTTTATTTTCTTTATTCCAGGATTTATGGAATGTCCACTACCAAGTTTTCTGATGAGTTTACCAATGATTCTCTCCCTTTGAAATGCTTTCTGAGGCAGGTGCCTTGGGAGAACAGTTAGTATAAAGGTACCCGAATCTGGCTGTTAAAGGAGCTCCAAATTAAGTAAGGCCTGGCCATTTTGTTTGTTTTTACCCTACATTTTACCACACACACCAGCACCCACACACAACCCAACTGTTATGAATATTTGTTAGTGGTGTTAATACTGTGTTTTATTGCATGGGGTCTTTTTATTTTGGTTTTAGTGGGTTTTTCACAGGTTAGAAAGGATGCACCTTAAAGGGCACACAAATTAAATTTTCTGAAGTATCTATTGTCCGAGTTTTGGTTGTACACATGTAAATTACCTTGATAAGAAATGTACTGAAAAACCCAATGTAAACCTCGTACACTAAATGTTTGAAATATCTTTAAATAATGAGTCTGAAGTACAGGGAAAGAAACACTCACTTAATGGGGTTGAATGACCTCTGACCTCTGTTCTGACTTTCTGGTGGGGCCTGATCACCCTCACTAGAAAGGCTAGAGACATTGGGTGAGATTTAAATGTAATATGTAAACACTGATAATTAGGAAGAAGTTTATAAATGTATCAATAGCCCTATGTGTGATTCAAACCACAAGGAGAGAGAGAGAGAGCGCTGCCCCTGAATTAGGGAAGCCTGTCTCTAGTCTATTTTACTATTCCTTGAATTACTTTATGGGATACAATTATTTTAAGATGGAGTTATCAAGGGTTGTAAATCTAGTTTTCTTTGTTATTTGATTTAACCGGCAGTGTTGTTGTTTTTTTGGACGCATGAATCACGATGTGAGTCATGTGTCAAAAGGGAAGAAGTGTATTGTTGTTGTTGTTGTTGTTGTTTGTTTTGTGTGTTTTGTTTTTGTCTTGCTTCAATACAAAATCTCACCAGATTGGGTCTGCTGGATGGTCGGGATTTCCCCCTAAGGATTAGCTCTGTAACTCCCTGACCCTGTAAATCTGCGGTGAGATCGCCAAGATGATAGGGGAGTATAAGCCAATTTGCAAAAATTGTTTAAACTGTGTGTTGTTATTCTCTTTGACATTTGTATTTGACATTTGTATTAAGAATATTGGTAGAGGTAATCATTTGTCAGTATGAAAAATAAATATAAAATGTATGCACTCACTGTAAGTCTCTGGATAAGAGCGTCTACTAAATGACTAAAATGTAAATGTCATACAGTGAATTTGTCTGGATTTCCTGAATCAGAAATGCCCTAAACTAAACTGTTGTTCTGGTCTGTCCTCTCTCGAGGTTATGGCGAAGGTGACCAGATGCATGGAAGGGATAATTCGACCGAGAACAGTGTGAGCCTCACCCCCTCAAACCGGCTGAAGTAATAGCGACAATGGCATTCACTATGGTCCTTCACCACTTCTACCTGAAACCTGAGTCCGAGACAGCAACCTGTGCACGGCATCCAGTCGAATCTATCAACTGTCTTTTCTCTCATGCCTTTTCTCTCTCAGGAGTGCGTCATGAGTCCATGTGGAGTGAGCATGGAGAAAGATCCCATCCAAACTTCTCTCATGCTGCTGGTGTACTGGTTGGAAAATGGACAAGACATAATGGACCATAAAGGATGGTGGCGGCTCAGGTGAGAGATTTGTCTGCTTGGGAAAATCAGATTATTCCCCAGATATTGAAATCGGGACATTATCAAGGGCAATCCACTTTGAACATGTGCCATTGGGAGGACGAACTGAAACACTATCTGAAGAAGAAAATGAAGAAACGCCAGAAGAATGTGTGCAAGGGAGGAGGGGGAAGGTCAACCGTGCCCATAATTGATTTAGGCTTGTCCAAAATTGTTTATTTGTGGTATCAGGTTGATAGTGGAGGTCTGCACACTGTGAAATGTATAGTAATTTAGACAACAAATGCATTGAGATACCAATCTGTCATTAACATGCCACTTGCGACAAAAGCTCCAGCTGAAATGTCATTGCCAGAATCCATAAATGAAATTGTGGAATGAAGCATATGTATGAAGTGAAGGTCTTAAGTTAAAGCATTCTACTGCAATTTTTATAGGTAAGAACTATGGAAACAATGAGTCTACAGATCCCTTGTGTGTATTTTAGATTGTACAACCCAGAGTGAAGGGTTTGAAAGGATTAAGTGTCTGGTTTTATACGTTGATTTTGCTTACTTTAATAGAAGTATAGAACCTTCTTTTGATAGAAGCTATAATCTAATACTTACCTTAAAATTGTACGATAATTATCACAGAGTGATAAGAGGAGGGAATGTGAAGGACATTTTTATGTTTGTGCTTTTCTAATAAGCTATTCGACTGGGTTCATGCAGGTGACTGATTGATCGTGCCTGGGAGGAATCCTCACTATCAGTATAAGCAATTTGGCAGTACACCCAGAATATTGTTTTGCTAAACCGAAAGGGGTGTCTCAGTTTCAAGGTCTCAGCTTGGAGAAGAAGCCTCGTGAGGTATTGGTCGGTCACATGCATGAACCAAACATTAATGATGATGAATTAATTATGAATAAGCTAAATCATGCAAATATAACTTGTCTGTGTAAGCAGTATATAAGAGAACTCACAGGACTGCCCCGGCCGAGCTCCAGACCGAGCTCCCGACCGACGTGTACTATGGCGCATTAAGTTTGTTGGAACCTCTCCAGCTTGCTGATAATAAAGAATGATTCATTTAAGATTCACTTCAGGTGTCCCTGGTGGTAATTTCCACCACAAAGACAACTGTGAACTCTGAAAAAAGCAAGGTCGAATCATGACGTCAGTGATTTTCAGGTCAGAGCTCTAGCAAGAGGCCCCAGTTCCCAACCTGGAATTCCGAGTTGAATGACCGTTCAAAACGTATTTTCCCAGTTGGAGCTAGTTTTTTTTCCCCCCAGAGTTCCCAGTTGTCTTGAACTCAGTCTGAGATTTCCCAGTTCCGAGTTTCCAGTTGTTTTGAACGCGGCAGAAGTCATGCTGGATTGACAGCATGGCCAATGTATTCAACCTTTTCTAGCCTATGGTGTGTTGCGAGTGAATGTTTATCCTTTTAAGCTTGGAAAAGAGACCCTTAAACCCAGACTTAGACCACACACCCTTTCCACATTAATAGCAGGCTAGTGATTGCTTTGCAAAGCTTGCAGTTAGCCACTCATTGTTGAATTTGCGATTTCCAACTTGTTGTGTAATGTTTATGTCCAATGGCCGATGAGCACCGATACGTTTTATCTATAATTTCTCTTCATACGACAAGGATTTGCCAGTAGATTGTCGACTTGACTCACGAAGGCCTGATTCACGCGGTCTCCTCTGAACAGTTGATGTTGAGATCTGTCTTATTTGAACTCTGTGAAGCATTTATTTGGGCTGCAATCTGAGGCTGGTAACTCTAATGAACATATCCTCTGCAGCAGAGGTAACTCTGGGTCTTCCTTTCCTCTGGCGGTCCTCATGAGAGCCAGTTTCATCATAGTGCTTGATGGTTTTTGCGACTGCACTTGAAGAAACTTTCAAAGTTCTTGAAATTTTCCAGATTGACTGACCTTCATGTCTTATTAGTAATGATGGACTGTCGTTTCTCTTTGCTTATTTGAGCTGTTCTTGCCATAATATGGACTTGGTCTTTTACCAAATAGGGCTATCTTTTGTATAACACCCCTACCATGTCACAACACAACTGATTGGCTGAAACGCATTAAGAAGGCACACCTGTTAATTGAAATGCATTCCAGGTGACTACCTCATGAAGCTGGTTGAGAGAATGTCAAGAGTGTGCAAAGCAGTCATCAAGGCAAAGGGTGTCTATATAAAACATATTTTGATTTGTTTAACACTTTTCTGGTTACTACATGATTCCTATATGTGTTATTTCATAGTTTTGATGTCCTCACTATTATTCTACAATGTAGAAAATAGTAAAAATAAAGAAAAACCCTGGAATGAGTAGGTATGTTCAAACTTTTGACTGGTACTGTATATATAGATATATATTTTTTGCTAAACAGTTTGGGCTCAAAACAGGTGGGGCTCTGCCATCTTTGTTTCTGTCTGTTACACAGCATATAAATTACCCTCAAAGCACTCGTTTGGATAAATTACTACTATCCAATGATGTAGGTCTTCTGCTCTTAATATACAATTATTTGATTACATCACACCAACCCATAATGTATGACTTTAATACATCTTATCAATGTCTTACTCAGACGCTGGCTTACAAATTGGGAAAGGAGAAGGAAAAAGGGACAGGGTGTGGGCAGTGAGCAGTGTTGCTGCAGAGTGGAGTGGACATAACTCTGCCTGAATGCTATTCACAGCACATACTGTACACACTCCACACAGAACTGTAGATGCAGTGTAGCTGTGCCATGATCCTGCTGGGGGGACCATTTGTGACCAAGCTGGCAGATTGAACGAGGCCTTTGGATGAGTTGCATTTGGAAAGGATCCATCATCCAAACCCAAAGCATCTAAACAATGGAGCAGATTCCCTAGTCTAAAACCATGCTGGAATTACCTCATATGCATGTCTTGCCACTGCAAGAGGCTTTTTCCATTTGTTTAATAAAATAATCACACACCAAAACATAACACATCTTATCAGTATTACGTGCCAGTACACAAATATACAAAAACAGACAACCTTATAATTCTGATCAATTTTGAGCCATGAATGTATAGCCAATCTGAAGAGTCGAATAATAGCCAAAACGGGGGAACTATTGTTATACAATTTTTAGGTCACACTAGTATACATTCCCTCAAGACACCGCAGAATAAATAATACATTGCAGTCTGTAATAAAGCCCTTTTGTGGGGAAAAACTCATTCTGACTGGCTGAGCCTGGCTCCCCAGTGGGTGGGCCCCTCCCAGGCTCACCCATGGCTGCGCCCCCTGAAACCCATAGATTAGGGCCTAATGAATTTATTTCAATTGACTGATTTCCTTATATGAACTGTAACTCAGTAAAATCATTTAAATAGTTGATTGTTGCGTCTATATTTTTGTTCAGCATATATAGAGGCCTAATGTCTTTATATGGTGTATTAGGAGGATCTTTGCTTAATTATGTAATGAGATGGATAACCCTACTCAGTAACTTAATTGGACACGACCCAAACGCCTCAGCGCGACGAGGGAGGAAGGGGGAAAGAGAAAAAGACAGGAGGAAGGGCGAGAGTGAACAAGAGAGAGAGAGAGAGAGAGGGTTGGGGGTAACTGTTGCTTACATAGTTCTTTTCATAGCAGAGGCTCTTGGAGGAGGAAGGTGGGAGGGGAGCGACAGCTCTGACTTGGGCCCCGGGGCTGTCCGTCACTGTCGTCCTGGTGTAATGTAGCCTGACAGACACACTTCCATTGTACTCGGCTTCCAATGGACTGGCTTGACAAGGGCCTTCTCCACAGAGCAGGAGAGGAGTGGCGCTCCGGAAGCAGGTGCTGAAATGCACTCAGGATATCAACCTAGTGAGGGGAACGAATCAGTCTTGGGGAACACAGGCTGCATCTGGTCTTGCCTGGAACTGAAGTAGAATAATCTGTGGGAAAATCCACAGTGTCATTCATGAGTCTACACGGCTTAGTGATGTTGTTGGTTTGGATTCTTTCTTCCCCCCCCCCCCCCATTGTTCTGTGTCTGAAGAACCAAACAGGTTTATATGCAACACTGTGGGGAAAATCTGCATATGTTGAACTAACAGACCATAGAACCTCATTCACTTTGGTAATTAAAGTAGAATTGACAGGGGACACAAAATCTATGGTTGAACAGAAGTGATTCTGTCAATAGAGAACATAGTCAGTGTTTAGAATGGAATGGCATCACATTTCCAGAACTGCTGCCCGATACAGCAGTAGGATATTAGCCCATATAGCTCACTGAGTGCCGCCTGTTTCATACAGATACGAGCTTTGCTATTAGAAAAGTGAATACATGCCATCTTTATTTACGACAGAATAAAAATTGTTTTAACATCTTCAAAGATCCCCTTGTGTAAGGGAATTCAAAACCCTGCACAGAGAGAATGAAATAAAAGCCATCTGTTTGTCCATGAAGAGTACCAGCAATATCTGCAGCATTATTGTTGGGATGGTGGTGCAATCACACTTTTCCATTTGCCTTCATGGCACAAGGAGCAGTTGCATTAGTTACTAGGCAATGCTGCGATGTGTGAAATTGCCAGAGTAGTTGGAAGGTGCAATTTGAGATCAGTGGAATTTAGGCAAAATAGAGGTACCTTTGCTATTGCAATGTCAGGATGTATGCATACCATGCTCTGTGTATTCAAGACATGGCTTACATAGATAAAATATTGCCTTGACTTTCCTAGTCAGCCCTATGGGTCACACTTGTAAAAATAAATGTAATAATTGTCATTTATCATACACTTATTCAGAGTGATTTACAGGAGCAATTAGGTTTAAGTGGGGCTTGCTCAAGAGCACGTCTGCATATATTTCACCTGGTCGGCTTGGTGTTTCAAACTAGAGGCATTTCAGTTACTGTCCCATTGCTCTTAACCGCTAGGTTACCGGCCACCCTGTCTGGTCTTAAGAGCAGATTATATTATATCAATATTATACGGTTTTGTAATTTGTTTACCAATAACCCCCTCACCATCATATAAAAAAGGTAAATAAACAATGACCACTGTTTCATGCTCACAAAAAATGTTTTTTTTTTGTTTAACTGGCGCCACCTACATTTAGTGACATTTCAAATAAATTAAGAAACATTTTTTTATTCCGTTTCATTGGAAAATAAATTAACACAAAGAAAACTGACATTTGTACAAAAAATATATATGAACACTAACGACATTTGTCATACAATATTGAGTGCGTTGGTTTCCTGGCAAGGATGGACTTTCTCCCTTTCTCTGCATTCTCTATGACAGTCTTTGCCTGAACATTTCAGGAAAATGCTTATAATGAACGTAAAGAAATGTATAATGTGTAACAACGTCAAATGGGCTAAACCTCGTCATTGTCCTCATCGGAATCGTCGCTGGAGCCCCAATGGTCGCTCTCTTCCAAGGAGATTACGGAGCTGAAGCTATCCATGGAGAGGTCACTGTTACTGCTGCAACTGTCGTCGTCGTTGATCACCATCAGCTCCTCCGGCTGGACTGTGTGGAAAGACACAGTGGAAGGCACCATGAGAGCCTTTCATAGACCCACACTGACCTGGGTCGTGTTCGGTAGGACACACCATAGCAAATTGTATTGCAATGGAAAATGAAAATCTGTAATTGGACAGGTAGCTCCCCCATTTCAAAACGTTTGCTCCCTACTCAACACAACCTTAGAATTCATGGGTGGAGATGTGGCAGATGGACGGATGTTCGTGAGTGAAAAGTGAAGTGAAATCAAAGTCAGTCAACGAGTGCATAGGGAAATGCAGGGACCATAGCTCTGTTTCTCCACCATGTGGATATGGTCCCTGCAATTCACTTAAACATCCATCTATCCATCCACCACATCTCCACCCATGAATTCCAAGGCCTCCCCTCAACAACCTCTGCGAACCTAGGACCAGGGTGAACGCACCTCTCACCGATGAGCGCCAGGCGACTCTGCTTCATGTCGGGGCTGAGCTGCTCCACCATGCGATCGATGCAGTTGTCCAGCACAAGCGAGCGGGTCTGCGACAGGATTGCCTGCCGACAGATAGGACACTCGTCCTTCCACTTGCGCCACTCTCTGATGCAGTGCAGGCAGAAGCTGTGGGCGCAGTTAAGCGTCACTGCCTGTAGGGGAGATATGAAAGAGGATTGAAACCGAACAGCTCTGATTAAAGGCCCAGTGCAGTCAAAATTCTGTTTTTCCTGTGTTTTGTATCATATTGTACAACAGATGAAACTAACACTGTAAAAGCGCACAAATATTTGATCAGTGTTATTTCCTGATAGTTGCTGGTTATTAGGGCGATATGGGCGACGCACTGCCAAACGGGAAAAGGAAGGGATTTTTTTTCTAATCAATTATATCACGGCAACAGTAGTTATCAGTGTTCTAATCTAGACGTCTGATCTGCCACTAAATGTCCAATCAGGCTAAAGTCGTGCTTCAAATGGCCCCGCCCCTTTTGGGGCGATTTCAGTCAGGTTGAAAATCGCCCCAGAAGTCTCTCATAGACTGTAATGTAAAATCTATTTTTTTCAAATATCAGAGCTTTCAATACAATCTCTATGGGTTTCTGAGGGCTTGCACTTACGCGCTTTCGTCATACGTAACATAACCATGAACGTAACTAAGAAAAGAGCGGGTAGCAGCGTCAATCAATTCACGTACTACTCTCTCACTCAAGATGGCTAGCGTTCAGTGCAACTCGATTGTCTCTTTGAAAGAAGTTCACATCAAAGACCATTCAAAACGAGCTACTGGAGTGTATGCTAGCGGTCATGAGGGAACATATTGTGGAGGAGGTGAAGTCGGCGAACTTCGTAGCTATCCAAGCTGACGAGACCACGGACGTTTCTACACAGACACAGCTGGTGCTTGTGCTGAGGTACATAGATAGCAACCACAAAGTGCAGGAGCGCTTTTTTGAGTTCCTTCCCATCTCGGAATCAACCTCAGTCTCAATCGCCAGTGTGCTTTTGGAGAGACTGAACGGTCTTTTTGCCGACGACGAGAAAGTCAAACTGTGGTGCACTGGCACTGTACCAGGTTCTCATGAGCTACAACCTCCAGGAGACGTTCTCTGAGACTGTGACTCTGTTGAACATCCTCATAACTACTCCCATGACAACAGCTGAAGCTGAGAGATGTTTCTCAACTTTGACACGAGTTAAGACATTCCTGCGAAATTCAATGGGCCAGGAACGTCTGAATGCACTGGCCATGCTTTCCATGGAGAGGGAACTAGTCCTCAGCATGCCTGATTTCAATGAGAAAGTCATTGACCGCTTTGCTGCATTGAAAGAGAGAAGAACAGTTTCAGTACAAGTAATGTAGCCTCTCTCTCTCTTTGTCCCTCCCTGTCTGTCTCTGTAACACACACACGCCCAAATCAGTTCACAGTTGATGTTGTTTAAAATAGTTATTTTTCATTTTAAAAAAAGTAAAAAAAATAAAATAATCTGTTCATGTTCATTTTTACAAATCTATACAATTGGCCAGAATATGGTTGTTCATATTTACAAATCTATACAATTGGCCAGAATATGGTTGTTAATTTTTACAAAGCCATACAGATAGTGGTCCTCTGTAGCTCAGCTGGTAGAGCACGGCGCTTGTAACGCCAAGGTAGTGGGTTCGATCCCCGGGACCACCCATACACAAAAAAAAATGTATGCACGCATGACTGTAAGTCGCTTTGGATAAAAGCGTCTGCTAAATGGCATATTATTATATTATTATTATTATATTAAGATAGCTGTGTTTACCTTTTCTAGAAATTATTTTCAAATTCTGTTTTCAGGCAAAATGTCTATCACTGTTCATTTTCACAAATCTATACAAGAGGGCAGAATATGGAAGTCTATACAAATTTCTTATTACCAATAACTTGCATCAATGTTTTCAGTAGCCTCTATCAAAAGCTCCTGCTTGCTTGTTGTGAATTATGCTCAGGTGCACATATTTCCAATTCAACCATGTGGTAAAAGCTCTTGTTGATCCTGCAATCTGAACAAATACCAAGATGCTGTATTTTCAGCTGATATTTCATTTGTTTATGGAAATGCATATTGTTTATGCAGTGTTGAGGAATGTGAAAGAACACCCTTGATTATTTTTACTGTGATAACTTATTTTGCTTTTGTAAGCCAACACTTTTGAGATCAGTCAATAAATGCTTCTGGCATTGACTTATATGCTGCCCCTGTCTTCATGTTGTTGCTGGACATATCTTTTTAAAAATGTGTGTAGGTCACCTAAATCATCAGAAAAATTGCCCCCCCTGAGACTTTTTTCAGGAGCCGCCACTGCAATCTACACAGCACCTTCTAATCAGCAGGTTTTGCATGATTGGAGTTTTGGCTTGCCTGGTGACATCACCAGGTGGTATAACTTTTATTAGACCAATAAAGAGAGCGCCAAACCTCTCTGCCTATAACAGCTAGTTTTCCCCTCCCCACTCAGACCACTCCCAGACAGTCATAGCAAAAGTATTGCTTGAGACGTTTGTGTGCTATTTTTGGTTCTTTTTTACCATTTGAATGGTACAACTATTACAGTAAGGTACTAAATTATTACCCAGAAATTATATGATATTGAGATAAAAACAGCTGCAATGGGCCTTTAAGGTAATCTTTCATTGTGATAAAATTGGGATTACAGATTGAGATTAGGATTACAGTAAAAGCATCTTCCAGTCACAAGCTATATTTCCAGACAGAAGTAAATTGCACAGTACATGAGACACTTATTGCTATCCAATGGGAACGATGTAAGACTGGTCAAAAGATTTACCCGAATGAGGAGCTCAGAACAAATTATGCATTGAAGTTCGTTCTCCAGCACCTCCGTCATTTGTGTTACCACCTTCTCCTTTTGAGCTCTCGCCCTCTCCTTCTCTTCCTGTAAGACAAAACATTGGCTTGAAACCGCACCAATTTATTTCAGTATCATTCAACTGGGTTAGGAAATTAAATTGAGTGAGGAAGTCACACTGGTGGTAGCTTACTTTTGTCACCTCCAGCTCTTTGTCTTTGGCCTTGAGGATGTCCTCAAAGCTTTGTCGAGAGAGTGCAAGTTCCTCTATGACTTTTCTTTGCTATATGGATTGCAATCAGATTCAAGATTGGTTACACTCAATTATTATGGTAACATCAGGTCACCTTTAATACAAGAGCTGAATGTTTTCTGTTGCTTACCTCTTGCAAAGCCTCCTCCAGCTGTGTTTTCAAACCCATCTCCTCCAACTGTTTTTTCATACCCGCCTCTTCATGCTGTGTTTTTTGCACCTTTAAAACAAACATTTGCCAGTATGAACACCTGCTTGTTGAACATCTCATTCCAAAATCATGGGCATTAATATGGAGTTGGTCCCCACTTTGCTGCTGTAACAGCCTCCACTCTTCCAGGAAGGCTTTTCACTAGACATTGCTGAGGGGACTTGCATCCAAATCAGCCGCAAGAGCATTGGTGAGGTCGGGCACCGATGGGCGATTAGGCCTGGCTCGCAGTCGGCGTTCCAATTCATCTCAAAAGTGTTCAATGGGGTTTGAGGTCAGGGCTCTGTGCAGGCCAGTCAAGTTCTTCAAACACAGATCGACAAACCATTTCTGTATGGACCTCGCTTTGTGCACGGGGGCATTGTCATGCTGAAACAGGAAAGGGCCTTCCCCAAACTGTTGCCACAAAGTTGGAAGCACAGAATCGTCTACAATGTCATTGTATGCTGTAGCGTTAATATTTCCCTTCACTGGAACTAAGGGGCCTAGCCCGAACCATGAAAAAACAGCCACAGACCATTATTCCTCCTCCACCAAAATTGACAGTTGGCACTACGCATTGGGACAGGTAGCGTTCTTCTGGCATCCGCCAAACCCAGATTCATCCGTCGGACTGCCAGATGGTGAAGCTTGATTAATCACTCCAGAGAACGCATTTCCACTGCTCAGAGTCCAATGGCGGCGAGCTTTACACCACTCCAGCCAATGCTTGGCATTGCACATGGTGATCTTAGGCTTGTGTGCGGTTGCTCGGCCATGGAAACCAATTTCATGAAGCTCCCGACGAACAGTTATTGTGCTGACATTGCTTCCAGAGGCAGTTTGGAACTTATTAGTGAGGGTTACACCAAGGACAGACAATATTTACCACTTTGTGGCTGAAATAGCCGAATCCACTAATTTGAAGGGGTGTCCACATCCTTTTGGCCATGTAGTGTAAAATAAAAGTAGAAAACCAGTCATTATCTGGTGTGACAACCATTTGCCTCATGTAGCACGACATCTCCTTCACATAGTGTTGATCAGGCTGTTGATTGTGGCCTGTGGAATGTTGTCCCACTCCTCTTCAATGGCTTTGCGAAGTTAACACGCCGTCGTACACGTCGATCCAGAGCATCGCAACATGCTCAATGGGTGACATGTCTGGTGAGTATGCAGGCCATGGAAGAACTGGGACATTTTAAGCTTCCAGGAATTGTACACAGATCCTTGCGACATGGGGCCGTGCATGATCATGCTGAAACATGAGGTGATGGTGGAGGATGAATGGCACGACAATGGGCCTCACGATTTCGTCAGGATCTCTGTGTGTTGAAATTGCCATAGATAAAATGGAATTGTGTTTGTTGTCTGTAGCTTATGCCTGCCCGCACCATAAACCCACCACCACGGGGCACTCTGTTCACAACATTGACATCAGCACACCACTCGCCCACATGACACCGTCTGCCTGATACAGTTGAAACCGGGATTAATCCGTGTAGAGCACACTTCTCCAGCATGCTAGTGGCCATTGAAGGTGAGCCAAACTGCAGTCAGGTCAAGACCAAGGTGAGAACGACCAGCACGCAGATGAGCTTCCCTAAGACGGTTTCTGACAGTTTGTGCAGAAATTATTTGGTTGTGCAAACCCACAATATCATCAGCTGTCCAGGTGTCTCAGACGAATGTGAAGAAGCCGGATGTGGAGGTCCTGAGCAGGCGTGGTTACACGTGGTCTGCGTTTGTTAGGCCAGTTGGATGTACTGCCAAATTCTCTAAAACAACATTTTAGAGTGGCCTTTTATTGTCCCCAGCACAAGGTGCACCTGTGTAATGATCATGTTGTTTAATCAGCTTCTTGATATGCCACACCTGTCAGGTGGATGGATTATCTTGGCAAAGGGGAAATGCTCACCGACAGTGATGTAAACAAATCTGCGCACAAAATTTGAGAGATACACACTTTTTGTGCGTATGGAAGTTTTCTGGGATCTTTTATTTCAGCTCATGAAATCAACACTTTACATGTTGCGTTTATATTCTTATTCACTTTATATGAATGGAGAATAAATGTCATCTCCCAGTGAGGCTCACCTCGAGGAGCTTCTCTGTCTCGCTGATGGACCTCTCCAGCATCTCCATCCTGTGAAGCTGGCCCCGGAGCAGCTCCAGCTGGCTCTGCAGCTCCCTCACCTGCTCCTCCTGGTGGGGGTCGTCCTGCTGCTGCTCCCCCTCCAGGGCCTCCACCCGCCGCTGGGTGTCATTCATCCGCTCCCGCACCACCAGCATGTTCTGGCTGTACCTAACAGTCAATCAACTTTAATTTGGGGCATTTCCATGTAAAAGGACCCATGAGCACTAAAATGTGAAGTTCATAGGAGCATGTCAAATTGGGTGTCAAATGAAAGACTACCTTTAAATAAATAAAATGTTTAGGCATATACATGTTAAAGGGGTCTTAGAAAACGTCAAGAGAAAATAAAGTATTAAAAAGACCCAATGCGGCTGTTATCCCAATATCAAATCTTTCTGGGTAACAATTAAGTACCTTCAGCAAAAAGCTATTTCTCACGCAATACTTTTGCAAGGACTGTCTGGGAGTTGTCTGAGAGGGGAGGGGAAAATGGGAAAACTAGCAGTTATTGGCAGAGAGGTTTGGAACTCTTTGTTATTGGTCTATTAACCATTTTACTGCATGGTGATAGGATCCACCCAAATAATTTCGGTTCGTGGATCCTTATACAGCATTATAAGGCCGCGTTGAGACAATTACTTATTAATGACCCAAGCACAGCTCAGTTAATCCCTACCATTGTGTCACTTGAGTTGTCATAATGCTTCAGCAAATGTACATTATCCCAGGGGCGCTGGTAGACACAACGCAAGTAACTTAAATGATGTCCCTTTACTGCCCTGAATGCCTCTGCTGATCCTACAGCTATTGTATGCAGTAATCATTCAGCTGTGAACCAGAGTTATACGGTTAGCACTGAGGCGGTGTGCCCTAGCAGGAAGTCCACTGTGTGCAGCTCACACCCTGCACTAACATAAATAACATGACCATGTCTACCTGGGCTAAGCTTCCCAGTTAAGCAACAAAAACAATCAAGCATCGCAGAAAAGTGCTAAAAAATAGCCCACGTTAACATACAGTGCATTCGGAAAGTATTCAGACCCCTTGACTTTTTCCACATTGTTACGTTACAGCCTTATTCTAAAATGGATTAAATTAATCTACACACAATACCCCATAATGACAAAGCAAAAACAGGTTTTAGAAATGTAATAAATAAAATAAAAAAATATTACATTTACATAAGTATTCAGACCCTTTACTCAGTACCTTGTTGAAGCACCTTTGACAGCGAAAAAATATTACATTTACATAAGTATTCAGACCCTTTACTCAGTACCTTGTTGAAGCACCTTTGACAGTGACTTCTTGGGTATGACGATTCAAGCTTGACACACCTGTATTTGGGGAGTTTCTCTCATTCTTTTCTGCAGATCCTCTCAAGCTCTGTCAGGTTGGATGGGGAGCGTCACTGCACAGATATTTTCAGGTCTCTCCAGAGATGTCAGATCGGGTTGAAGTCCAGGCTCTGGCTGGGCCACTCAAGGACATTCAGAGACTTGTCCCGAAGCCACTTCTGCGTTGTCTTGGCTGTGTGCTTAGGGTCTTGTCCTGTTGGAAGGTGAACCTTCACCCCAGTCTGATCTCCTGAGCACTCTGGAGAAGGTTTTCATCAAGGATCTCTCTGTACTTTTCTCCATTCATCTTTCCCTCTATCCTGACTAGTCTCCCAGTCCCTGCCGCTGAAATACATCCCCACAGCATGATGCTGCCACCACCATGCTTCACCGTAGGGATGGTGCCATCTTGTTTCTCATAGTCTGAGAGCCCTTTAGGTGCCTTTTGGCAAACTCAAAGCGGGCTGTCATGTGCCTTTTACTGTGGAGTGGCTTCCGTCTGGCCACTCTACCATAAAGGCATGATTGGTGGAGTGCTGCAGAGATGGTTGTCCTTCTGGAAGATTCTCCCATCTCCACAGAGGAACTCTGGAGCTCTTTCAGAGTGACCATCAGGTTCTTGGTCACCTCCCTGACCAAGGCCCTTCTCCCCCGATTGCTCAGTTTGGCCGGGCGGCCAGCTCTAGGAAGAGTGGTTCCAAACTTCTTCCATTTAAGAATGATGGAGGCCACTGTGTTCTTGGGAACTTCAAAGCTGCAGAAATGTTTTGGAACCCTTCGCCAGATCTGTGCCTCGACACAATCCTGTCTCGGAGCTCTACGGACAATTCCGTCGACCTCATGACTTGGATTTTGCTCTGGCATGCACTGTCAACTATGGGACCTTATATAGACAGGTGTGTGCCTTTCCAAATCATGTCCAATCAATTGAATTTACCACAGGTGGACTCCAATCAAGTTGTAGAAACATCTCAAGTACGATCAATGGAAACCGTATGCACCGGAGCTCAATTTCCAGTCTCATAGCAAAGGGTCTGAATACTTATGTAAATAAGGTATTTCTGTTTTTTATTTGTAATACATTTGCAAAAATGTCTAAAAACCTGTTTTCGCTTTGTCATAATGGGGTAGTGTGTGTGTAGATTGAGGAGGGATTTTTTAAAATATTTTCTGGGTGATTTAAATAGACTGACTTTCATCAAGCTGCCCACTCAAGAAAAAGCTTCAAAGTGTTACCAGTCCCTGCAATCTGGTTCAGGTTATCAGTCAACCTACCAGGGTAGTTACAAACAGCACAGGAATGAAATCATCAACATGCATTAATCACATCTTTACTAATACTGCAGAAATGTGAATTTAAAGCAGTATCCAAATTTTATTTATTTATTTATTTAATTTTACCTTTATTTAACCAGGTAAGCCAGTTGAGAACAAGTTCTCATTTACAACTGCGACCTGGCCAAGATAAAGCAAAGCAGTGCGATAAAAACAACAGAGTTACATATGGGGTAAAAAAACAAAGTCAAAACATACAACAGAAAATATATATATATACAGTGTGTGCAAATGTAGCAAGTTATGGAGGTATGGCAATAAATAGGCTATAGTGCAAAATAATTACAATTAGTATTAACAATGGAATGCAAGATGTGCAAGAGATTCCATCGGACGTAGTGATCACAATATAGTAGCCATATCTAGGAAAACCAAAGTTCCAAAGGCTGGGCCTAATATAGTGTATAAGAGGTCATACAATACGTTTTGTAGTGATTCCTATGTTGTTGATGTAAATAATATTTGTTGGTCTGTGGTGTGTAATGAGGAGCAACCAGAGGCTGCACTTGATACATTTATGAAATTGCTTATTCCAGTTACTATGAAGCATGCACCCATTACGAAAATTACTAAAAACGGTTAAATCCCTGTGGATTGATGAGGAATTGAACATGTTTATGGTTGAGAGGGATGAGGCAAAAGGAATGGCAAATACGTCTGGCTGCACAACCATTTGGCAAACGTACTGCAAATTGAGAAATCATGTTACTAAACTGAGCAAAAATAAGAAACTATAATATAAAACTAAGATAAATGATATAAAGCACGATAGTAAAATGCTTTGGAGAACCTTAAATCAAATTTTAGGCAAAAAGGCAAACTCAGCTCCATCATTCATTGAATCAGATGGCTCATTCATACAAAACCCACTGATATTGCCAATTACTTTAATTATTTTTTCATTGGCAAGATTAGTCAACTTAGCCATGACATGCCAGCAACAAATGCTGACACTACACATCCAAGTATAACTTTTCAAATTATCAAAAGGTAAAAGCATTGTAATTTAGAATTCCGTAAAGTGAGTGTGGAAGAGGTGAAAAAATTATTGTTGTCTATCAATAATGACAAGCCACCGGGGTCTGACAATTTGGATGGAACATTTCTGAGGATAATAGCGGACGATATTGCCACTCCTTTTTGACATATCTTCAATCTTAGCCTACTAGAAAGTGCGCCCCCTCAGGCCTGGAGGGAAGCAAAAGTAATTCCGCTACCCAAGAATAGTAAAGCCCCCTTTACTGGCTCAAATAGCCAACCAATTAGCCTGTTACCAACCCTTAGTAAACTTTTGGAAAAAATGGTGCTTGACCAGATACAATGCTATTTTACTGTAAGCAAACTGAAAACAGACTTTCAGCACACTTATAGGAAGGACATTCAACAAGCACGGCACTTACACAAATGACCGATGATTGGCTGAGAGAAATTGATAAAAAGATTGTGGGAGCCGTTTTGTTTGACATTATTGATCATAGTCTGCTGCTGGAAAAACATATGTATTGTGGCTAAAGAGTTACCTGTCTAACAGAATACAGAGGGTGTTCTTTAATGGAAGCCTCTTCAACATAATCCAGGTAGAATCAGGAATTCCCCAGGGCAACTGTCTAGGCTCCTTCCTTTTGTCAATCTTTACTAAAGACATGCCACTGACTTTGAGTAAAGCCAGTGTGTCTATGTATGCAGATGACTCAACACTTTACACGTCAGCTACTACAGTGACTGAAATTACTCCAACACTTACAGTGAGGGAAAAAAGTATTTGATCCCCTGCTGATTTTGTACGTTTGCCCACTGTCAAAGACATGATCAGTCTATCATTTTAAATGGTAGGTTTATTTGAACAGTGAGAGACAGAATAACAACAACAAAATCCAGAAAAATGTATGTCAAAAATGTTATAAATTGATTTGCATTTTAATGAGGGAAATAAGTATTTGACTTAGTACTTGGTGGCAAAACCCTTGTTGGCAATCACAGAGGTCAGACGTTTCTTGTAGTTGGCCACCAGGTTTGCACACATCTCAGGAGGGATTTTGTCCCACTTCTTTGCAGATCTTCTCCAAGTCATTAAGGTTTCGAGCCTGACGTTTGGCAACTCGATCCTTCAGCTCCCTCCACAGATTTTCTATGGGATTAAGGCCTGGAGACTGGCTAGGCCACTCCAGGACCTTAATGTGCTTCTTCTTGAGCCACTCCTTTGTTGCCTTGGCCGTGTGTTTTGGGTCATTGTCATGGAATACCCTGGAATACCCATCCACGACCCATTTTCAATGCCCTGGCTGAGGGAAGGAGGTTCTCACCCAAGATTTGACGGTACATGGCCCCGTCCATTGTCCCTTTGATGCGGTGAAGTTGTCCTGTCCCCTTAGCAGAAAAACACCCCCAAAGCATAATGTTTCCACATCCATGTTTGACAGTGGGGATAGTGTTCTTGGGGTCATAGGCAGCATTCCTTCCTTCTCCAAACACGGCGAGTTGAGTTGAGGCCAAAGAGCTCGATTTGTCTCTCATCTGATCACAACACTTTCCCCCAGTTCTCCTCTGAATCATTCAGATGTTCATTGGCAAACTTCAGACGGGCCTTTATATGTGCTTTCTTGAGCAGGGGGACCTTGCGGGCGCTGCAGGATTTCAGTCCTTCACGGCGTAGTGTGTTACCAATTGTTTTCTTGGTGACTATGGTCCCAGCTGCCTTGATATCATTGACAAGATCCTCCCGTGTAGTTCTGGGCTGATTCCTCACCGTTCTCATCTTGCATGGAGCCCCAGGCCGAGGGAGATTGACAGGTCTTTTGTGTTTCTTCCATTTGCGAATAATCACACCAACTGTTGTCACCTTCTCACCAAGCTGCTTGGTGATGGTCTTGTAGCCCATTCCAGCCTTGTGTAGGTCTACAATCTTGTCCCTGACATCCTTGGAGAGCTCTTTGGTCTTGGCCATGGTGGAGAATTTGGAATCTGATTGATTGATTGCTTGCTTCTGTGGACAGGTGTCTTTCATACAGGTAACAAACTGAGATTAGGAGCACTCCCTTTAAGAGTGTGCTCCTAATCTCAGCTCGTTACCTGTATAAAAGACATCTGGGAGCCAGAAATCTTTCTGATTGAGAGGGGGTCAAATACTTATTTCCCTCTTTAAAATGCAAATCAATTTATAACATTTTTGACATGCGTTTTTCTGGATTTTTGTTGTTGTTATTCTGTCTCCCACTGTTCAAATAAACCTACCATTAAAATTATAGACTGATCATGTCTTTGTCAGTGGGCAAACGTACAAAATCAGCAGGGGATCAAATACTTTTTTCCCTCACTGTAGGGCTGCAGTTAGTTTCAGAATGGGTGTCAAGGAATAAGTTAGGTCTTAAAATTTTAAAAAAATACTAAAAGCATTGTATTTGGGACAAATCATTCACTAAACCTGAACTAAATATTGTAATAAAATGGAAATTGAGGTGCCTAAACTGCTTGGAGTAACCCTGGATTTTAAACTCATGGTCAAAACATTTTGATACAACAGTAGCTAAGATGGGGAGAAATCTGTCCATTATAAAGCGCTGCTATGCCTTTCAAACAACACTATCAACAAGGCAGGTCCTACAGGCCCTAGTTGTCGCACCTGGACTACTGTTCAGTCGTGTGGTCAGGTACCACAAAGAGGGACTTAGGAAAATTACAATTGGCTCAGAACAGGGCAGCACGGCTGGCCCTTAAATGTACACGGAGAGCTAACAATAATATGCATGTAAATCTCTCATGGCTCAAAGTGGAGGAGAGATAGACTTCATCACTACTTGTTTTTGTAAGAAGTGTTGGCATGTTGAATGCACCGAGGTGTCTGTTTAAAGTACTAGCACACAGCTCGGACACCCATGCATACCCCCACAAGACATGCCACCAAAGGTCTCTTCACAATCCCATAATCAAGAACAGACTATGGGAGGCACACAGTACCACATAGAGCAGGGTTCCCCAACTGGCGGCCCGCAGGTTTTATTTGGCCACCCAAGTTTTCTGAGCCAAAAAATTATAATAATACATTTTTCTTTTTAAATCATTGTTGGACATCAGGAAATCAGCTCCAACTGATTTTAATTTAAGAAATCTATTCCCAAGTATTCCCACACATAAGAGAGAGACACGTGATTATATACAAATGTAAGCAAGGTTTGAAATGATTATGTTTTAGTCAAACATATCTGTTTGGCCTTCTTGCGGTCAATTTGCAGTCTACAAATGATTTGTAATTATGTTCCGGCCCTGCAACCATCAGCTCAAGAAAAAATAATAAAATAAAACAAATATATTTAAAACAAAATCGGCCCGCGGCTGAATCTAGTTGATGATCCCTGACAGAGCCATGGCTACATGGAACTCTATTCCACATCAGGTAACTGACGCAAGCAGTAGAATCAGATCTTAAAAAACAAAAACACACCTTATGGAACAGCGGGGACTGTGAAGAGACACCACACGCATAAGACACACACTCTACACACACATACACATGGATTTTGCATTGTAGATATGTGATAGAGTAGTGGCCTGAGGGAACACACTTAATGCGTTGTGAAAAGTGTTATGAAATGTAATGTAATATTTTAAATTGTATATAGCTGCCTTAATGTTGCTAGACCCCAGGAAGAGTAGCTGCTAAATGGGGATCCTTAATAAATACAAATACCATGGAAAGCCGAAACTCCCGCCCATGCAAACCTGCTGATTAGCAGGTCCTGTGTAGATTGTATTTTCAACCAGCAACTATCAGGGAATAAACACTGACCAATTTTTTGATATACTTTTACAGTGTTAGTTTCATCAGCTGTTGTTCAATATGATATAAAAACACAGGAAAAACTGATTTTAGGCTGCACTGGGCCTTTAAAATGTATTAGAAATACATCAAAACACAGTAAAGACTGCTTCCAACTAATCTTAACACTTACATTTAGTTTTTGAGAAATGTATCTGCCTTCTGTAAGTTTAAAAAGGTCCAATACAGCCGTTTTGATCTAAATACATAGACATCCATTGTTGGTTCAGATTTAGTCCAATCGTAGAAGTACAGTAGAGTACAGTAAAAAAAAGTTGAGTATAGTTCAGTAGAGTGCAGTCTGGTACTGTACTGTACAGTAGAGCACACTAGAGTTGAGTACAGTATAATGTATTGTACTAAACTCTACTGTTCTGTCGTGTACTGTACTAAGCTCTACTGTGCTGTATTTTGATGTCCAAACTTCTGAAACATCCACATGAACCATGATCGTTTCAGATTTGGTTCGGACCAACGAAATTTGGTCTTGTTTGGGGGGAGCTCATTAAAATAGCCAGTGTGTAGAATAATACCCAAATATGCAAAGGAGGATATTGCATATATCTACTTTTGTGTACCTAATCAGTCTATATTGCCATGAAGAGAATTATATTCATAATTATGCATTTCTGTACAGTACAGACCAGGAACCCATGATGCAATTCCGTTACCAGGTGTAAATCCACTTCACTCAAAGTAGTTCAATAACCAAGAGGTGTCATGACAGAGTCGACACACGATTCTTTCAGACATCTTTGAATCTTAATTCAGAGCAGACATTTAACAGAGCTTTTGGAAAACGTTGTCACAAACTAAGGGAGATTTTACTGAAATTCTGTTACCAAACTTTGCATCTGCACGGTTCTTCCAGTAAATGTGTTTTTGCAAAATCTGTGGAAATTGTTGAAAGTAGTCCTTGTGCATGGAGTTGTATTGTCCCCCCCAAAAAATCAGTCCTCCTTTCCCCCCATTCATCGCGCTGATCTAAAATAATTTACCTGCTGAAAGCCAACCTAATGATAAGCTTCCACCATATCGTTTTACTTGTCAAGTATTTTCCAATTGGTGCAGACAAAGGGGAGTACAGATTTTTTGACAATTGAGAGAGCTATTCACTTTTACTACATAAAACCTGTCCAAGAGGTTAGACATGAGTGAAGCACTAGTAGCAACATACGTACGTTTGTAAGTTGGACAGATTCCTGATAGGACTGCTGAGTCCCTCTGGAGGCAAGTCCAGCCTCTGACCCTGCTGCACGCTGGGCCCGGCCTCCTCCCGTACCCTGGTTCCTGGCCTCTCCCGGGGCTTGTCTGTGGCAGAGCAGAGGTAGAGCTTGGATTTAAACGAGGTCGAAGGCTCCAGTTCATCAGAGTTCAATTTCCTCTTAGTCTTCTTGGTTCTGGAGGCAGTGCAGGCAACTTCACTAGGACCCTTCGCTAGGTAGGGTTTGATGTCCTCGAGGCGCTGCCGAATCAGTATGTACTCATGCTCCACTTTGGTGCCAACAAGGGGCACTCCCAGCTTTATCGAGTCCCCGAGCATCAGCAATTGAGCTTTATCCACAGGAATTCGTTCTCCATTCACCCACACACCATTAAGACTCTAGAAAAAAAACAAATGTAAACTGCTTACAGCTTATTAACAGACTCACCGTTTCATTTTAAAATGGATACATGGAGAAGCTGTACCTTCTTGTCGGTCACTGTCCATTGGCCGTCGTCTCGTTGCTTGAACATACAGTGCAGTCTGGATATCATTAGGGGGCAGCTTGTGGACATGAGCTGGTGAGTGACATTTAAGCCACGTCCAATTGTAACCTGAGACAAGAGTGGAGCGTAGGCCAGAGAATTTGATTCACAGTAGCTCCTGTTATAATTTTTGGCATAGCTAATGTTTACAAGAAACAACATATGCAGACAGAGAAATCTCTGGAATCTTACTCTGCTATCATAGAGAAGAGATGTGATGATATTGTAATGTTTGCTAGTTAAACAAGGTGGCTTGTGTCTTGAACTAGCACTACAAAAGTTAGCTACCCAACATTCGGTTTGTGAGAACTGCGACTGGTGTTATTCATTTGTACACATACGAGGCTACTCAGTTAGTGTCTATGAATGAGGTAGCCTAGTCCATGGCTAACTGCTTTAGCGCCTATTGACGATAGCATCTTCTGACCGGGGAAGTTTTTTTAAGAGCCCCGACGCTTGCTCTAAACATTAAAAGACCCACCTCAGAGGAAGTTGCCTCACCTATTTCGTGTAATTCCTGTCCTAGAGTTGAAATTCTCGTTTAGGTTCCACTTCGAAGACTGACGCTGGCTGCTAATACATATTCAGGAATTGGGGGTGGCAACGTTGTGGTGATTTCCACGTGTAGTAGAGAAATTACAACAAATAAGGCATTGACTGACAGCTGTCAGTGCAACTAGCTAGCATGCTAAACTTAGCTAGCTAATGCAAGTTGTGTGAGCACCATTTAAGACAGGAATAATGTAAGTCAAGCGAAAATTATTATTTCAGATAAAGACTACCAGCCTACCTCTCAGCTAAACCGTGCCTATACGAGCTGTTGACATGTTGAGGGTTGACATTTGTCTGACTTTTGCTGCTTGATAATTCCAGTGAAACTGTCAGATTCCAGACATCATTGGACATGTACACAGACATTTTCAAATAGCTATATTCTTTGTTCTCTCTGATATCATTTCAGCAAGCTAGCTAGCTTTGTATCTAAATTGTGTCCGTGAATCTGCCATAGAAATAGAAAGAATAGAAGCTCCGGTAATATGGATAGCCTAACTATTGAAGCAATGGGTGAGTTCATTTTGCATGGCCCCGTGCCCCAGGTGGGTGGAGATTTCTCTTTAAGATTAATGGAACGAAAATGAGCAACCCCTACATACCGGGCCATGCAAAACGAATTTGCCTAAAACGTTAGTGGTCAAAATCATTCATTTTGGGGCGACGGGGGAGCGGAGTTCTAAAATGCAATCATATCATGCCATTTTACTATTTATAAAAATGGTATTATGTTTTTTTATTAGTTTGCACCCGTATTTTAATTTGCTCCATGGCTCAGGCAGCCAAGTGTAGGCTACACCGAAAAGCTGTAGCCAGAGACGGAAGAGACCCCACTCGCAGTTTTTTTTCTGGTTCAATGAATGTCAATTAACTAAGCAGACCAGACCCAGCTGCTATTGCATTGGTGTCTATGGGAGACCCACCCCGTTAAGTAGACCGGAACTGACAATTTCTTTCAATGGTAAACGGCCAGAGTGAAACATATTCATTAATTTTTTTTAAAGGAAAAAATGATGTATGCACTCTAACTGTAAGGCGCTCTGGATAAGAGCGTCCGCTAAATGACTAAAATGTAAAATGTATCAACCATCTTGCTGTAGACAAAGATGATCTATTATATTGCTCAGCTCCAGGGCCGGCCCTCCCATTTGGCAAGGTTAGGCAGTCCGGCACTTGAATTTGGGGCGGCATTTTGGCAATTGGCTGCCACCCTACGGCGCCCCTGATTGGCTACTACACCGCCAGCGGCGCCCCAGCCACCAGCTCATAGCCGTTGCTGCAGTTCCCACCCCCACCCCATTCCCACTTCTCAAGAAGTTCACTCCCACTATCCTTGGTAGCTATGGTGATATGTGTGTGTTTTTATGGGATTATCCAATTGTGAAACATTAATACAAATTAATCTGACAATTAACTTTTTTTTTTATGTGTGCGTGTGACGAAGACGATTAGTGATTACGGCAGTAGCCTAACCTAGCCTGTTAACGTTAGCTAGCTACTGGTGGAAATAATTTCAGCTAAAAGTAAGCTATAGAGATTTGCAACCAAATTTCCTGCCATGTCTAAGAGACAAAAACTATCAGGAAGCGAATATAAAAAATATAAAATAATGAGAAAAGAGGCACAACCTCTAAGCTTAAGAGATTCGCTGCAGAAATGTACCAGTGTGCAGCAATGTCCATCAGCCGGTGTGGAGAACAAGCCTCCGAGGACAGGCCGTTCATTTACCGAGACAGACGAGCCCCCGTTCGGTGGTTCTAGCAGCAAACCGGAGGAGTCCGAGCAATCCACTTCCACCGATGATGACAGCTCTCTGGGTGGACAAGAACAGGTGGTCGCACCAGGCCTAGCCCACACCTCCAAGCAACCGTACTATCTGGGACCCGAACTCAGATTCGTCACTCCATGTTCCCGATGAGTGGTGCTGCTGCTAAATCCGACTCCCAGACCAAAAACATAAAAGACCCTGGTGAGCGGCCAAAAGATATGAATGGATCTTTACGGGACATGTTAGTGCAGGCTGGGCCACATCAGGATAAGGAGGGGAATTTCCCAAGAGATGAGGCAACAAATATTTTCGGTGGCCCACTACAATAGGAGGATGGCGAACAGGGAGAGTGGAGAGACCATGGCTTGTCTATTCCAAGCTAAACGAGTGAAAATCTGCGCTGGTCAGAGATGGAACCAGGGACTGGAACAATCTGTGCCACCTCCTCAGCTCACATGAGAAGTCACATGACCACCTAGATAGATTCCAGAGGTGGAAGGAGCTGGAGATCAGGCTGGTGTCCAAGCAAACTATCGATGCCCAAGCCCAACGGGCTATTGACAGAGAGATTCTCCACTGGCAGCAGGTGCTGCAGAGGCTAATAGCCCTGATCCGCGTAATGGCCACCCAGAACATTGCACTACGTGGGACCACCGACAGGCTGAACGAGCCAAATAATGGGAACTTTCTGAAGTTTGTGGAAATGCTGGGTATCTTTGATGGAATCATGAAGGAGCATGTAAGGAGAGTGCACACCAAAAGAAACACGTGCAATACCTCTGTAAAATAATCCAGAAATCATTGACATACTGGCACAAGACAGATCTAGCAGACAGTCGGCAGTGAGCTAAAAGCAGTCAAATATTTTTCTAGAATTTGATAGCACACCAGACAAGAGCAAAACAGAGCAGATAACCATGATGGTGCGTTTGGTTTCAACCGAGGATGATCGGTCAGTGCTCACGAGAGCGCAATTCCTGGAGTTTAGTGACCTGCTTGACGCAACGGGGGCGGGCATGACCGAGTTGCTCATCTCAAAACTACATGGCATCGCCATCATGGACATGAGAGGGCAGGGGTATGACAACAGGGTGAATATGCGGGGGAGGCACAGTGGATTTCAAAAGCGAGTGCAGGATATCAGAGGGCCTTTTTTTGTGCCATTGCAGAGCGCACCTTCTTCTCCCTGATGCAGTATTGGGTTGCTTGGAGGCGGCTGAGTTAACACCATCCAAGATATTTATACATTTTATCCGGATCTACACACCGCTGGGACTTGCTGAAAGAGTACGTAAGAGATGGGCTCACAGTGAAATCCCTCAGCACCATGAGATGAGATGGGAGAGCCAGGTGGAGGCTATGACACCCGTGCGTTACAAAATCACCCTCCAAGAAGTAGTGCATGCTTTTGCTGCCAGGAAGGCCAGGCAAGTTAACTCGTCTTTGAATAAAAGGTAAGCATTGATCACACACTCGCATTAATTCTATCACAGAGTAATTTGGAAGATTACACAATTATCTATCGCCTGTTTACTCTAATTTTTAGACTTAAATAGACTACATCCTAATCTCGCTCTCTCTCTCCCTCTGTGTCCCTCAGATGATTTGATTTCAGGACCATGGACAGCTACTGAGAGAAAACGTCGCTGACTGCAATGCAGCACCACAGAAGAGGAAAATAAGTCACTCTAGCCGGGCCATGAAATGAAGAAATGCTGAAACTGATGTTGGATATTCAAATTCAATATATAAATAAACAACATTCGTTAAGGCTGGGTCTTTGACAGAAAGCTTATTTTACACTGCTCCAGCGAAATATGGCCCGCCATGCATTTATGAAAGCACTTGTTTCCAAAGCTCAAATGATCGCACTCTTTACAGTTCTACAGGAATATTAAAGGATGTTAAATGTTAAATAAAAGTTTAATATTTATTGTAACAATTGTGGGGTCGTGCCATGTGTGACAACAGGTGTCATATTTTTAGTAAGAAACGTTCTTACTATAGGAAGTTGGCTGCATGGTGATTGCAACATTGTAACTCTCTGATGCAGGAGTTAAAGTAAAATTCCTTTCTGCCCGGTAAGGGACCTCCTATATGTGCAAGCGCGAACTAACATTATGTATGGGCCTAATCATAGAATTGGAGCCTATTTCTTCCTATTCAAAAAAGTGGTAGCCTTAAATGTTTGACAAACAATTATGCTATCCATAGACGGTATAGCCAAATCCTCCAATACTGTTGCATGCACTCCTTAAATACCTCCGCATCTGGGAAGGGCTTGGTGTGTTTGGTTAAAGCTAGGGTTCGAATTGAATGAGGGTATCCCATACCCTTTGATAAAGAAAAGGGCAAAAAGGACTCCTATTGTTAGCTTTATATTTTGGAATAAATACATAAAAAAGTATCCAGACTATATAAAGTGTTCTATAACAATGCTTAACTCAATGATGCCTTATGGTAAAAACAAGCTTTAAAAATGCCTGCGAAAGACTTGACTCCGATGCATATGGGGATATACTGATTCCTCTCTATGACATTCTGAAGCTGAGCTGCAACCTATAATATTAGAGACAAAATATTTGAATTTGCTATTCTGTCCATATTGAGATTTTTACTTTCTGAAAACAGAACATGTTTGTTAAAACCCAGGCAGCTTTTAGGGAAGCACTTAAGTTGTTGGGTTACGCAATGGAGTAGCCAGCAGTTGAAGATTACATCTTTCTGCGTCGGTAGTGTCTTTCTGGGTGGAAAGGTAACTTTTGAAAGTGCCATGCTTAGATTCATAAGGATGTCTAAGATTTCATTATTTGCAAACAAGACACTCTGGTTTGACATTGGAGAAATATGGTAAGAATGCCTATTTCTCTGTCCATTCTTCCTGTGAAACTTTTTCAGCCCAACCTTTTCTTTTGATTGCAAGGTGTTTTTACCCAATCAACGCACAAAGAAATATAAAAAAAACTTAATTTAAAATTGACGCATTGTAGATTTTATCAGTGTAATCAGATTGAAAATATTAGGCTGTTATTGACATTGAACTGATTAGATAGCCTACTAACCAGATGTGTAAAAAAGTGTGTTTCATTTGTAGTGTAGGCCTATAAATTGGACTGCTATTATGTTCTGTTCCTTTGACTTTTAGCGGAGAAAGAAATTGACCCAAGGCCAAACCGATTGCCGACCACTGCTGTACATAGTTTAGCGGGGAATGGAGGGGGGCGGCAGTTTGTCTCGCCTAGGGCGGCAGAACATCCAGGGCCTGCCCTGCTCAGCTTACTTGCGCCGCGAACTTTGCAGTTGATTCTGAATAATAAACAATGCCATGCTGGTGGGAGGTCCTATTCAAATAAAACCCAGCCCCTGAAACTAAATGTATGAGAAAAATAATGTACATGTCATTTCATAGCAAAAGAGATTAAGCGGGCAGTTCGGTTTTCACTTCAAGACCAAATATATCATACTTTGACTAAAACTATGACTTACATTGTTTTTGTATAATCTGGCCATCTTCTTTCAGATGGAAAATGTGGATTTCTACTGGTGTGAGCGTTTAACATGCGTCGCTTGCGGTACATTTTTGTAAACATAAAGGAACTTATCTTTCATACCTGCGAGAAATAGGGTCGGGCGGTATCCAGATTTTCATACCGTCTCTGTACCATACCGGGGTATACGGTATTAACGAATGCACAGACAAGGCAATTTTTTAAAATAAATACAAATACAGTTGAAGTCGGAAGTTTACATAGACTTAGGTTGGAGTCATTAAAACTCATTTTCAACCACTCCACAAATTTCTTGTTAACAAACTATAGTTTTGGCAAGTCGGTTAGGACATCTACTTTGTGCATGACACTTAATTTTTCCAACAATTGTTTACAGACAATAATTCACTGTATCACAATTCCAGTGGGTCAGAAGTTTACATACACTAAGTTGACTGTGCCTTTAAACAGCTTGGAAAAGCCGTCTAAGAGCAACATTGGCTCAGCTGCAAAGTGGTAGGCCACACAAGCTCACAGAACAGGACCGCTGAAGTTCGTAAGCGTGTAAAAATAGTCTGTCCTCGGTGTAACACTCACTACTGAGTTCCAAACTGCCTCTTGAAGCAACGTCAGCACAAGAACGGTTAGTCGGGAGCTTAACAAAATGGGTTTCCATGGCCAAGCAGCCGCACACAAGCCTAACATGCTGACCAAACCGCTTGCTTTAAGTGCGCAAGCGTTGCAAAATAAATGTACACATACATGTTATTCAATCACTTCATCCAAACTGATAGCGAGCGTCTGCGTAGCCAAGCGCTAAAATAGAACTTTGTTCTATTTTTGACACGCTGCAAGTCCCGCCTCTCCCATCTCCTCATCGGTTTTTAGGAGCATATACCCACGTGGGTGATTGAAAAATTAACTGAGGTCCACACTCCAGTCCAGTTGGTGATGGTAATAAACCTTAAAGTTCGTTTCCAACTGCCATATAAAGTCCACAGAAGAAGAAGACTGAAGGAGGAGAGATTACTCGAAACTAACTAGGTTTCCACTTTTATCTGTGGATTAATTGTCGGAGTAAAAATCACACGATTTTGTGAGACTCAAAAAAGGTAAAAATTCTACAAAAGACCCAGAAAAAAATGACCTTTTGCATTTCAGGTAAAATAGCAACCCAATGTTTATATCCCAGGACACATTAGCTAGCAACAGCAAGCTAGCTAATTGGCCATGAATGTTATGTTTTTTTCGACCTGTCCCCAAATTAATATAGTTGGCGCAGAGTTTGTTTTGATATTTCAACCTGCGTGTCCTGATCGCGTCTGGTGTGGATGGACAAAATCAACATGCGCGCAATGACGCGTGCCCGGTCTAGTCAGCATGTAAGAACCCCACGCGCAATGCCAAGCGTCGGCTAGAGTGGTGTAAAGCTTTCCGCCATTGGACTCTGGAGCAGTGGAAACGCGTTCTCTGGAGTGACGAATCACACTTCACCATCTGGCAGTCCGACGGATGAATCTGGGTTTGGCGGATGCCAGGAGAACGCTCCCTTCCCCCAATGCATAGTGCCAACTGTAAAGTTTGGTGGAGGAGGAATAATGGTCTGGGGCTGTTTTTCATGGTTCAGGCTAGGCCCCTTAGTTCCAGTGAAGGGAAATCTTAACGCTACATTGACATTCTAGACAATTATATGCTTCCAACTTTGTGGCAACAGTTTGGGGAAGGCCCTTTCCTGTTTCAGCATGACAATGCCCGCATGCACAAAGCGAGGTCCATACAGAAATGGTTTGTCAAGATCGGTGTGGAAGCCCTGACCTCAACTCCATCAAACACCTCTGGGATGATTTGGAACCCTGACTGCGACCCAGGCCTAATCGCCCAACATCAGTCCCTGACCTCACTAATGCTCTTGTGGCTGATTGGAAGCAAGTCCCCGCAGCAATGTTCCATCTATCTATCTATCTATATATATATAATAATAATAATAATAATATGCCATTTAGCAGACGCTTTTATCCAAAGCGACTTACAGTCATGCGTGCATACATATATTTTTTTTGTGTATATATATTGCATGTTTTTATTGTGTAGTACATTTCAGTTTAACCACATAATATTTGTTCTGTCTTTTCTGGTGGATTAAACAGAAATTGCAAACAGCTTTCTATTGCTTGTTTTAAAAATAGCGATAGTTTGGAGATTATTTCATTTTCAAATAACCGAAAGTGAGAGGTAATTTGAATTAAGGGGAAAAGGCTATTCTTGAACACAGGGTGAGCCACTTTTACTAATCTGCTAGAGAACCAGTTCGGATTTAAATTCCGTTTTTGTATGACTAAAACCTTTAGTGAGAGGTCCAATGCTTTAATATTTAATAATTTATTTCAATATTTTTAAAATAATAATAATAAAATCAAGTCGTTAGATGTAGACAGCGCCATAACTAAATAAGTAAACTGGGCTATTACTAAATAATTAATCAGGGTGACTTTTCCACAAATAGACAGGTTTTGAGAATATTAAACTCCCCCATCCCAAGAATCGTTAGCTGTGTTCGAATACTCATACTAACCGCACTATTTGTGACGTAAATGGAGTATATAGTTTGCTTATTGGTCATAGTATGGATATAGGTAGTAAACCAAAAGTTGTCGTACTACATTCGTCAAAATAGGAAGTATACAAGCAGTGGACACTATTTCCGGCCGTGGCTTCAGTTTTCAGATTTTATGAAAATGGCGTTAAATATACAGCCGAAAACCAACGAGAGCGGATACAAATTCATTGCTTTAACTAATTATGCCAAATGTTAAGAAAATGTTGAGCAATGTAATAAAGTAATGACTTTTCAAATAAATTACCTACACGTTATGTTGGCTGATAATTTGTTAGCTACGATATCCTTACAAACCACATAGCATATCATTACAGCACTATGTACCGGTATGTTAACTAGCTACCTGACGTTAGTTGGCTACTAATACATCAAACGTGCCAGTATATTAAATATATGCTAACTAACTACCCAACGTTTATTGACTTGATTATTCCCTTCATTCTTAGCTGGTATAGTCGTTGTGCGTTCTCAATTGACATTCGGGTGCTTTCGTACATTCGCTCTGGCTATCTACTCGGATTTCAGAGCACTCTAGTCTGAGTGTAATGCAGAGCACAGAAGAACTGATGAATTTACAAACACTCAACACCGGTTGAATATGGCCGGTGTCAGCAAACATCGACAAAAAAAAACGTTATTAAATTGTTGCCAGCAGCACAGTTACAGTCACCAACGCTCTGGATAACATGAAAACTGCCTAACCAGCTCTGCCAGGGCGAGTAAAATGGTCAGACTGAGGTGTTCTCTCATTTGTGTCTGGAAGTAGCTAGCTTGGGTTGGGTGCTTGACTGCCGTTGTAATGTCAGAACGCTCGAATCAACCCTACTCCTCCGCCAGAGCTCAAGTGTGCGTTCCGAATTTACAAACAGACAATCTGACAACGTTCTGAATTTACGAAAGCCAAGATCGCACTCTGGCCCTCCAGATTGAATTTAAGAACACACCCAAGTCGTAAAATGTCTAGCTAGTAATTTGTTATGCTAACAAGCTAGCAAGAGGTTGCATAGCAACAGCATCAACGTCCGGTAGACAGGCGAAGCGCTAGTACGTTCAACTGAAAGGATACCGTTCGTTTACAGTATACTAAAATGAACTAATAGTATGTAGTATATACTCATTAAGTATGTAGCATACAGTATGTTAGCATGGGTATTCGAACATAGGTCTTGACTCCTGTGTAATGTAATCGAATCAGTTTTGTTGCGATATTACAATTGCGCGTTCTATAGTGATTTAGCAAGCAGTCTAGTAGGTAACTAGCTAGTAGGTTGAGGTTCCATTTATATCAACTTTAGCACCAAACAGCTAGCCAAGTCACTAAAATGTACATTCAACCAGTTTGGTTCGCGGCGAAATTTGCTAACGTTAGTTACCTCTGTATTCTCGAACAAGCGAAGCCAGTCCAAATCTTTCCCGACTCGTGTCAAACACCATACTTCTTTCTTCGCATATTCATCCTTTTCAGCTGTAGGGGAAGTTGAGCTTTCTATTTGGTCCATTTTTAAACATATTACAGCTAGCTGAGCAAAATATGCTTTGTTTTCCTTTCTTTGGGTTGGCAGAGTATGCCTTCTATGGCCAGTGGAAATGACGTGTTTTTTTTTTTTTAAGTCCCACAATGCCACGCTCTTAAACTTTTTCTTCATGTCCAATATTCCTTGTTCATGTCTGAACCACTGAGGTATAATATAAACGGTCTGAATACACGTTTACATAGTATGTCTGAAATACACAGCTCAAAAAAATAAAGGGAACACTAAAATAACACATCCTAGATCTGAATGAATGAAATAATCTTATTAAATACTTTTTTCTTTACATAGTTGAATGTGCTGACAACAAAATCACACAAGAATTATCAATGGAAATCAAATGTATCAACCCATGGAGGTCTGGATTTGGAGTCACCCTCAAAATTAAAGTGGAAAACCACACTACAGGCTGATCCAACTTTGATGTAATGTCCTTAAAACAAGTCAAAATGAGGCTCAGTAGTGTGTGTGGCCTCCACGTGCCTGTATGACCTCCCTACAACGCCTGGGCATGCTCCTGATGAGGTGGCGGATGGTCTCCTGAGGGATCTCCTCCCAGACCTGGACTAAAGCATCCGCCAACTCCTGGACAGTCTGTGGTGCAATGTGGCGTTGGTGGATGGAGCGAGACATGATGTCCCAGATGAGCTCAATTGGATTCAGGTCTGGGGAACGGGCAGGCCAGTCCATAGCATCAATGCCTTCCTCTTGCAGGAACTGCTGACACACTCCAGCCACATGAGGTCTAGCATTGTCTTGCATTAGGAGGAACCCAGGGCCAACCGCACCAGCATTTGGTCTCACAAGGGGTCTGAGGATCTCATCTCGGTACCTAATGGCAGTCAGGCTACCTCTGGCGAGCACATGGAGGGCTGTGCGGCCCCCCAAAGAAATGCCACCCCACACCATGACTGACCCACCGCCAAACCGGTCATGCTAGAGGATGTTGCAGGCAGCAGAATGTTCTCCACGGCGTCTCCAGACTCTGTCACGTCTGTCACGTGCTCAGTGTGAACCTGCTTTCATCTGTGAAGAGCACAGGGCGCCAGTGGCGAATTTGCCAATCTTGGTGTTCTCTGGCAAATGCCAAACGTCCTGCACAGTGTTGGGCTGTAAGCACAACCCCCACCTGTGGACGTCGGGCCCTCATACCACCCTCATGGAGTCTGTTTCTGACCATTTGAGCAGACACATGCACATTTGTGGCCTGCTGGAGGTCATTTTGCAGGGCTCTGGCAGTGCTCCTCCTGCTCCTCCTTGCACAAAGGCGGAGGTAGCAGTCCTGCTGCTGGGTTGTTGCCCTCCTACGGCCTCCTCCACGTCTCCTGATGTACTGGCCTGTCTCCTGGTAGCGCCTCCATGCTCTGGACACTACGCTGACAGACACAGCAAACCTTTTTTTTTTTTTTTTTTTCACCTTTAATTTAACCAGGTAAGCCAGTTGAGAACAGGTTCTCATTTACAACTGCGACCTGGCCAAGATAAAGCAAAGTAGTGCAATAAAAAACAACACAGAGTTACATATGGGGTAAAAAAAAACATAAAGTCAGAAATACAACAGAAAATATATATACAGTGTGTGCAAATGTAGCAAGTTATGGAGGTAAGGCAATAAATAGGCTATAGTGCAGAATAATTACAATAGTATTAACACTGGAATGCTAGATGTGCAAGAGATTATGTGCAAATAGAGATACTGGGGTGCAAAAGAGCAAAATAAATAACAATATAGGGATGAGGTAGTTGGGTGGGCTAATTTCAGATGGGCTGTGTACAGGTGCAGTGATCGGTAAGGTGCTCTGACAACTTATGCTTAAAGTTATTGAGGGAGATAAGAGTCTCCAGCTTCAGAGATTTTTGCAATTCGTTCCAGTCATTGGCAGCAGAGAACTGGAAGGAATGGCGGCCAAAGGAGGTGTTGGCTTTGGGAATGACCAGTGAGATATACCTGCTGGAGCGCAGACTACGGGTGGCGTCTACGGGTGGCGACTACGGGTGGCTACCTTCTTGCCACAGCTCGCATTGATGTGCCATCCTGGATGAGCTGCACTACCTGAGCCACTTGTGTGGGTTGTAGACTCCGTCTCATGCTACCACTAGAGTGAAAGCACCGCCAGTATTCAAAAGTGACCAAAACATCAGCCAGGAAGCATAGGAACTGAGAAGTGGTCTGTGGTCACCACCTGCAAAACCAGTCCTTTATTGGGGGTGTCTTGCTAATTGCCTATAATTTCCACCTGTTGTCTATTCCATTTTCACAACAGCATGTGAAATGTATTGTCAATCAGTGCTGCTTCCTAAGTGGACAGTTTGATTTCACAGAAGTGTGATTGACTTGGAGTTACATTGTGTTGTTTAAGTGTTCCCTTAATTTTTTTGAGCAGTGTATATTAATTTAAATCTTGAATATAATATTTAAACCTGTTGCAAAGAAACCACACAAGACGTCCATCCCAATACATCCCAAATTATCTTATGCAAATTGTAACATTAACCTTCCTCAATTTGATTAGAGCAAGTACACCAATCAAGTTTCTGACATATCACACTTAACACACCTGCTCCTGATTACAATGCAGTATGTTTCTTACTTTATCTTTATAACTTCATGTTAAGAAAATACCATTTAATCATAAATGCTGTCTTTACCAAGATTGCCATAATTCTTGGTATTTGAGTGTACAGTAAAATACATGCATTCTATTTATTTGCCATTGTGAAAAAATATTTTTTAAATGCATAATTGCTTTTCCTCTGTCTTGAGGTTATCACTGATCTGTGAACTGGATATGTTTACATTTGACATTTTAGTCATTTAGCAGACGCTGTTATCCACAGCGACTTACAATTAGTGCATTTATCTTAAGATAGCTAGGTGAGACAACACTATGTCAATACTGGGAAAAGAGAAGTGCCATTTACATTTTTATTATATGTTTACGTCACAGCAAGGTTTCTATCTTATTTCTTGTTCCCATCAAACGTTGGTAGATCAGTGATTATTTCACGGAAAATATCATGGGTCAGAAGTTTACATACACTCAATTAGTATTTGGTAGCGTTGCCTTTAAATTGTTTAACTTGGGTCAAACGTTTCAGGTAGCCTTCCACAAACTTCCCACAATAATTTGGGTGAATTTTTACCCATTCCTCCTGACAGAGCTGGTGTAACTGAGTCAGGGTTGTAGGCATCGTTGCTCGCACACGCTTCTTCAGATCTGCCCACACATTTCCTATAGGATTGAGGTCTTTGTGATGGCCACTCCAATATCTTGACTTTGTTGTCCTTAAACCCTTTTGTCACAACTTTGGAAGTATGCTTGGGGTCATTGTCCATTTGGAAGACCCATTTGCGACCAAGCTTTAACTTCCTGACTGATGTCTTGAGATGTTGCTTCAATATATCCACATAATTTTCCTTCATCATGATGCCATCTGTTTTGTGAAGTGCACCAGTCCCTCCTGCAGCAAAGCACCCCCCACAGCATGATACTGCCACACCCATGCTTCACGGTTGGAATGGTGTTCTTCGTCTTGCAAGCATCCCCCTTTTCCTCCAAACATAACGATGGTCATTATGGTCAAACAGTTCTATTTTTGTTTCATCAGGCTTTTTTATGGCGGTTTTCGAGCAGTGGCTTCTTCCTTGCTGAGCGGCCTTTCAGGTTATGTCGATATAGGACTCGCTTTACTGTGGATATATATACTTTTGTACCTGTTTCCTCCAGCATCTCCACAAGGTCCTTTGGTGTTGTTCTGGGATTGATTTGTACTTTTGCACCAAAGTACGTTAATCTCTAGGAGACAGAACGTGTCTCCTTCCTGAGCGGTATGACGGCTGCGTGGTCCCATGGTGTTTATACTTGCGTACTATTGTTTGTACAGATGAACGTGGTACCTTCAGGCGTTTGGAAATTGCTCCCAAGGATGAACCAGACTTGTGGAGGTCTACACATTTTTGTCTGAGGTCTTGGCTGATTTCTTTAGATTTTCCCATGATGTCAAGCAAAGAGGCACAGAGTTTAAAAGTAGGCCTTGAAATACATCCACAGGTACACCTCCAATTGACTCAACTGATGTCAATTAGCCTATCAGAAGCTTCTAAAGCCATGACATCATTTTCTGGAATTTTCCCAGCTGTTTAAAGGCACAGTCAACTTAGTGTATGTAAACTTCTGACCCACTGGAATTGTGATACAGTGAATTATAAGAGAAATAATCTGTCTGTAAACAATTGTTGGAAAAATTACGTGTCATGCACAAAGTAGATGTCCTAACCGACTTGCCAAAACTATAGTATGTTAACAAAACATTTGTGGAGTGCTTGAAAAACTAGTTTTAATGACTCCAACCTAAGTGTACGTAAACTTCCGACTTCAACTGTACATGTCATGAGGTGTATAGACAGTAACAGTCAAAAGTTTGGACACACCAACTCATTCAACGGTTTTTCTTAATTTTTACTATTTTCTACATTGTAGAATAATAGTGAAGAAATCAAAACTATGAAATAACACATATGGAATCATGTAGTAACCAAAAAAGTGTTAAACAAATCAAAATATATTTGAGATTTGAGATTCTTCAAATAGCCACCCTTTGCCTTGATGACAGCTTTGCACACTCTTGGCATTCTCTCAACCAGCTTCATGAGGTAGCCATCTGGAATGCATTTCAATTAACAGGTGTGCCTTCTTAAAAGTTAATTTGTGGAATTTCTTTCCTTCTTAATGCGTTTGAGCCAATCAGTTGTGTTGTGACAAGGTATGGGGGTATACAGAAGATAGCCATATTTGGTAAAATACCAAGTCCATATTATGGCAAGAACAGCTCAAATGAGCAAAGAGAAATGACAGTCCATCATTACTTTAAGACATGAAGGTCAGTCAATATGGAAAATGTCAAGAACTTTGAAAGTTTCTTCAAGTGCAGTCGCAAAAACCATCAAGCGCTATGATGAAACTGGCTCTCATGAGGACCCCGACAGGAATGGAAGACCCAGAGTTAACTCTGCTGCAGATGTTAAGTTCATTAGAGTTACCAGCCTCAGAAATTGCAGCTCAAATAAATGCTTCTTGGAGTTCAAGTAACAGACACATCTCAACATCAACTATTCAGAGGAGACTATGTGAATCAGGCCTTCATGGTTGAATTGCTGCAAAGAACTCACTACTAAAGGACACCAATAAGAAGAAGAGACTTGTTTGGGCCAAGAAACACGAGCATTGGACATTAGACCGGTGGAAATGTGTCCTTTGGTCTGGAGTACAAATAGGAGATTTTTGTTTCCAACTGCTGTGTCTTTGTGAGATGCAGTGTGGGTGAACGGATGATCTCTGCATGTGTATTTCCCACCGTAAAGCATGGAGGAGGTGTTATGGTGCAGGGGGGCTTTGCTGGTGACACTGTCTGTGATTTATTTAGAATTCAAGGCACACTTAACCAGCATGGCTACCACAGCATTCTGCAACGATACGCCATCCCATCTGGTTTGGACTTAGTGGGACTATCATTTGTTTTTCAACAGGACAATGACCCAACACACCTCCAGGCTGTGTAAGGGTTATTTTAACAAGAAGGAGAGTGATGGAGCGCTGCATCAGATGACCTGGCCTCCACAATCCCCCAACCTCAACCAAATTGAGATGGTTTGGGATGAGTCGGACCGCAGAGTGAAGGAAAAGCAGCCAACATGTGCTCAGCATGTGTGTCAACTCCTTCAAGACTGTTGGAAAAGCATTCCAGGTGAAGCTGGTTGAGAGAATGCCAAGAGTGTGCAAAGCTGTCATCAAGGCAAAGGGTGGCTATTTGAAGAATCTCAAAGATATTTTGATTTATTTAACACTTTTTTGGTTATTACATGATTCCATATGTGTTATTTCATCGTTTTGATGTCTTCACTATTATTCTACAATGTACATAGTAGTACAAATAAAGAAAAACCCTTGAATGAGTAGATGACTGGTACTGTACATTTATTGTATTTTGTACTATTTTTGTCATTGTTATGATGTTTGATCACAAAATACCAGTCTCTCGATGACATGATATCAATAGTGTCTTTTAAAATATTCCCGAATCAAAAACCATGGATTCATAGCAGCCTTGTAGGAAAACTGAAAGAGATAGATACTGCTTATAGACAGGGCAAAGTGACCGGGGACAATAGTTTGGTTACCAGTACAAATACAACCTACGCTGATCGATCAAGATGGCAAAACCCAAGTATAGGAACAAAGTGGAGGAGCAATTCAGTTGGTCGGACACAAGGTGTATATAGCAGGAGCTCCTAACGATTATGGATTACAAAAAGGAAGCCAGCCACATCGCGGTCACCAACTCCTCCCTAAACACCTTTTTCTCACGATTCGAGGACGTACACTACATGGCCAGAAGTATGTGGACACCTGCTCGTCAAACATCTCATGCCAAAATCATGGGCATTAATATGGAGTTGGTCCCCCCCTTTGCTGCTATAACAGCCTTCACTCTTCTGGGAAGGCATTCCACTAGATGTTGGAATATTGCTGCGACGACTTGCTTCCAACCAGCCACAAGAGCATTAGTGAGGTCGGGCACTGATGTTGGGCCAATAGGCCTGGCTCGCAGTCGGCGTTCCAATTAATCCCAAAGGTGTTCGATGGGGTTGAGGTCAGGGCTCTGTGCAGGCCAGTCAAGTTCTTCCACACCGATCTCGACAAACAATTTCTGTATGGACCTCGCTTTGTGCACCGTGGCATTGTCATGCTGAAACAGGAAAGGGCCTTCCCCAAACTGTTGCTGCTATGTTGGAAGCACAGAATCATCTAGAATGTCATTGTATACTGTAGCATTAAGATCTCCCTTCACTGGAACTAAGGGGCCTAGCCCGAACCATGTTAAACAGCCCCAGACCATTATTCCTCCTCCACCAAACTTTACAGTTGGCACTATGCATTGGGGCAGATAGCATTCTCCTGGCATCTGCCAAACCCAGTTTGTCTGTCGGACTGCCAGATGGTGAAGCGTGATTCATCACTCCAGAGAACACATTTCCACTGCTCCAGAATCCAATGCTTGGCATTATGCATGGTGATCTTAGGCTTGTGTGCGGCTGCTCGGCCATGGCAAACCATTTCATGAAGCTCCTGACGAACAGTTCCTGTGCTGTATATAGCCTCGCTATTGTTATTTTTACTGCTGCTCTTTAATTATTTGTTACTTTTATTTATATTATTTTATTTTTTATTTTTTAGTGATTTTTTGGGGTATTCTTTCTTAAAACGACATTGTTGGTTAAGGGCTTGTAAGTAAGCATTTCACTGTAAGGTCTACACCTGTTGTATTCGGCGCATGTGACAAATAAAATTGGATTTGATTTGGTTAATCTGCCTGAGGAGAGAAGTTGAAACTTTGGGTGGAGTACATAGGAAGGGTAGGAGATAATTTGATTTGGCTGTCCCATGATTGTTTGTTCACACCCATCATATTCATTGATGTCTGGACAGTAATTTTAAAGTAACTGACAATTTCACAAACCAGGCAAAAATGCCATATACTAGAAAGTTCTCTATAACAGTCTGGTAGAATAGGAGCATGACCTTGGGTTTGACTCCAAAAACCCTGAATCAACCCTGATTAAAGTCCACATTACTGTATGTAGCACCACACCACAGGTGAGTAGTCACCAATGGATTTTAAATCAAAAAATATTTTCTTGACATGTATGAGATGGTGGTAATCACACCACTGCACAAACCTCTCAATCAATCGTATGTTATTTTTAAAGCCCGTTTTACATCAGGAGTTGTCATTAAGTGCTTATACAGATACCTGGCCTAAACCCCCCAAGAGCAAGCAAAGCATAGTGGCTAGGAAAAACTGCCTAGAAAGGCAGGAGCCTAGGCCATAGGGGAAAACCTAGCAAGGAGTGGCCATTCCTCTTCTGGCTGTGCCTGGTTGAGATTTAAGATTACACGTGGCCAATTAAGGCCACATTTTTCTTCAAGATGTTTGAGCATGTTAACACACTTTACAGTTTCAGTCAAACTTTATGTAGAAGTCATTAGGTTAATTTGACAGTCTTTTCATAATATGTTATGTTGCCTACTGTGGATTTACAGTGTATTTCTGGTAGGCATCATATTGATGGATTTTATTGTTGAGCTTGTCATTAAATAGAATGACAATACAATGCAGAGTCCAGCAGTTCCCATTCTAAAATGGTTTGCTGCCAGATTCTACAAGAGTAGATTACTGAGCCAAAAACTATTTTATTGTCATTCTATGATGAAAGACATGAGTTATAATAAGGAAATATAGATTTACTGGTAAATGAAAAACCTGTATAGTTTTGTGCCTAATAATAAGCCTACAACAGTGATTATAATAAGCCTTATTATCAAAACACAATTTTATTGTCATTATTTGATACCCAACCAGATACCCAACCAGAAGTATGAAAAATGTATGCACTCACTAACTGTACGTCGCTCTGGATAAGAGCGTCTGCTAAATGACCAAAACAATTAATAATATGAGTTATATACCTAATACCTAATATGTATTGGTAAAAAGTGACATAAAAAGTAAATTATTTTAATTCAGTTGATAAGATAGGTGTTTGTTATTTGTGTTTCGTTAACATTTAACTGAAACAGTTTAGATCGCGCCTTTTTAGCTCTCCCAGTCTTGTTTCACACCGATAAAGTCAAAGATTTGTATAACTAAACCAAGATAGACCACAGCCGGTCGTTTCAAACGGAAACAAATGAGTAATAGTGGGCAGAACAAACAGGAGGTGGGGCAGAGCCAAGCACGAGCTAGCGAGATCCTATTGGCGCGTTGTAGCATATATTTGCATATTTCCGATAGGGAACGACTACTCTGTGACGTACGAGTGTGCAATAACTCAATTCGCCTTTGCACTCCTTCTAAACAATGCACTTTTGCAAAGGGTAAACTCTACAGAACTTAGTCCACTCTGTTCTTAACATATTCTAGTTTAGGGAACAGAAAACTGTATTGAGATCAATTGTTTCATCGATATGAAAATTAGCAGAATATCGGTCAAAATCCATCTGTTCCATCTTCTCCCACTGCCGACACTTGGCTTCCTAGTGGTAGTGAGTGGAAACGCCAAGCGGATGCTTCACATTTATACATCCGGTGAAATATCGGTCTCATTGTTCTATCTGTGAATATACTGCATATTGTGAGAGGCGGGACTTCCCTTCGTTCACGGATAGAAGTTTAGGTGAGAACGCAGAAGGGCTTCGTTACTGTATCAACTATTGGTAGGCCTATCACCGGTTTAAGCCTCGGTACAGCAGCACAACTACTAGGATACAATGACGCCGCGAGGGACATAGTAGCCCATATCGGCGATGCTAACCTGAAAGGTCTTGTGCAACTCCACCCTGTGAACATGTCTGATGTCAACAAGACTATCCAGAAATGGCACGCGAGTTTCAGAAAGGGCACGGACTTTGATTCGTGGGGACAATTAGTAGAGGCGATAGATGAGTACCAAATGTAAGTTGCATCACCTGTCACAGTGGCTAGAAGAATGACAAGAATGCGAAAGGATGGTTGCATCTTACTATCTATTCAAGAGAATGTGTACACTGCTCATCTCGAAATATGTAGTAAAATATATTATTATTGTTTTCATTAAGTATCACGAAAGGCAGCAAATCTAAAAAAACATCTGCAATAGAAAGCCATTGCATGATCTTTGATGTGGTGTAACTGTAACTATTTTCTATAGGCGTTACATTGTTACAAAGAGGGGCAGTCAATTTGCATCTGTTACAATGTTGCTATCATATTAGTTCATAAATCACAATTATAATTACATTTGAGTTGATGCATTCTGCAAGAGCAATTTATATGACAGAGCAAGACACTCAAATGGGTATATGGAAATTATCTGCCACGCCCTCCTATTCTTACGGGTGGAGCTCTGATCTGTGGATGTTTCATAGGCTGCTCCTGATGAACAAAAACAAATGAGGATACGTTCAAGACATTATTAAAGAAGTTTATCTTAAAATAGATTTCTATACTGTATTACACAGGCATGACAATCCATGATAATTTTGAGGCTACTGTACCTCTTCTCTTGGCCCAGGAGGGGGAATGAGAACAACACATTTGATTATTGTATTGCCACAACACCCATCCTTAGATGCCTTCAACGATGACTAGTACTGTAGGTTACGCAAATGTTTTATTAACATATTGTTTCCATATTTTGGGAACTATTAGTTTAATCTGATTAAGAATGTGTTTAACTGATGTTTCTATTCATTTCTATTTATTTAGACTTGCAAGGCAGCTGCAGAAAGAGGTCCAGTCAACAAACCCATCTGACTTCACAGAGGACCAGAAGGTACGTACTTTACTCAGACTAATTTCAACACCAGGTGAATTAATGACTACTTATATTCAACACCAGGTGAATTAATGACTACTTATATTCAACACCGGGTGAATTAATGACTACTATTTCAACACCGGGTGAATTAATGGCTACTTAGGCTTAGGCTACCTCAACCTCACTTTCCTCTATCTCACTGTCTTACATAGCCAATGCTGATTTTCATATGCCTTATTTTTATAGCTGAAAGATACAGTTTTTCATCACAACATATTTATTGACAGAAAAAGGTTTATGACATTCAGTGTTACCCTAATGATGTGGTGAAACCTATTGCTAGCCTGTGTTGATTTGTTTTTATTTAAGAAAACATTAGGGAAGTTTGCAACATGCCTGGAGATGAGAAGCGCTGCCTTGCAGGTTTGTACCTCTGATTCCCCTGACAATTATTGTTTTATAGTAAAAGACCACTAAATTAATGCTCTCTTCCTAACTCTTCATCAGTGTTGAAGCGTCTATAGGCGAGGTGGTGAATACAGTTGTGGTCAAAAGTTTTGAGAATGACACAAGTATTGGTCTTCACAAAGTTTGCTGCTTCAGTGTTTTTAGATATTTTTGTCAGATGTTACTATGGGATACTGAAGTATAATTACAAGCATTCCATAAGTGTCAAAGGCTTTTATTGACAATTACATTAAGTTTATGCAAAGAGTCAATACTCTCCCGAGTGGCGCAGTGGTCTAAGGCACTGCATCGCAGTGCTAGCTGTGTCACTAGAGATCCTGGTTCGAATCCAGGCTCTGTCGTAGCCGGCCGCGACCGGGAGACCCATGGGGTGGCGCACAATTGGCCCAGCGTTGTCCAGGGTAGGGGAGGGAATGGCCGGCAGGGATGTAGCTCAGTTGGTAGAGCATGGCGTTTGCAACGCCAGGGTTGTGGGTTCGATTCCCATGGGGGGTATAAAAAATAATGTATGCACTAACTGTAAGTCGCTCTGGATAAGAGCGTCTGCTAAATGACTAAAATGTAAATGTAATATTTGCAGTGTTGACCCTTCTTTTTCAAGACCTCTGCAATCTGCCCTGGCATGCTGTCAATTAACTTCTGGGCCACATCCTGACTGATGGCAGCCCATTCTTGCATAATCAATGCTTGGAGTTTGTCAGAATTTGTGGGTTTTTGTTTGTCCACCCGCCTCTTGAGGATTGACCACAAGTTCTCAATGGGATTAAGGTCTGGTGAGTTTCCTGGCCATGGACCCAACATTTCGATGTTTTGGTCCCCGAGCCACTTAGTTATCACTTTTGCCTTATGGCAAGGTGCTCCATCATGCTGGAAAAGGCATTGTTCGTCACCAAACTGTTCTTGGATGGTTGGGAGAAGTTGCTCTCGGAGGATGTGTTGGTACCATTCTTTATTCATGGCTGTGTTCTTAGGCAAAATTGTGAGTGAGCCCACTCCCTTGGCTGAGAAGCAACCCCACACATGAATGGTCTCAGGATGCTTTACTGTTGACACAGGACTCACCTTGTCTTCTCCGGACAAGCTTTTTTCCGGATGCCCCAAACAATCGGAATGGGGATTCATCAGAGAAAATGACTTTACCCCAGTCCTCAGCAGTCCAATCCCTGTACCTTTTGCAGAATATCAGTCTGTCCTTTATGTTTTTCCTGGAGAGAAGTGGCTTCCTCGCTGCCCTTCTTGACACCAGGCCATCCTCCAAAAGTCTTCGCCTCACTGTGTGTGCAGATGCACTCACAACTGCCTGCTGTCATTCCTGAGCAAGCTCTGCACAGGTGGTGCCCCGATCCCGCAGCTGAATCAACTTTAGGAGACGGTCCTGGCACTTGCTGGACTTTCTTGGGCGCCCTGAAGCCTTCTTCACAACAATTGAACCTCTCTCCTTGAAGTTCTTGATGATCCGATAAATGGTTGATTTAGGTGCAATCTTACTAGCAGCAATATCCTTGTCTGTGAAGCCCATTTTGTGCAAAGCAATGATGACAGCACATGTTTCCTTGCAGGTAACCATGGTTAACAGAGGAAGAACAATGATTTCAAGCACTAAAGCTTCCAGTTTGTTATTCTAACTCAATCAGCATGACTGAGTGATCTCCAGCCTTGTCCTTGTCAACACTCTCACCTGTGTTAACGAGACAATCACTGACATGATGTCAGTTGGTCCTTTTGTGGCAGGGCTGAAATTCAGTGGAAATGTTTTTGGGGGATTAATTTCATTTTCATGGCAAAGAGGGACTTTGCAATTATTTGCAATTCATCTGATCACTCTTCATAACATTCTGGAGTATATGCAAATTGCCATCATAAAAACTGAGGCAGCAGACTTTGTGAAAATTAATATTTGTGTCATTGTGAAAACCTTTGACCACAACTGTACATGCAATACCAACCTGTGATGTCATCTTATTAAATGTGTGTGTGTGTGTGTGTGTGTGTGTGTGTGTGTGTGTGTGTGTGTGGACATGTCCCAGCTCGCCAGCCAATTATCATATTGATGAAAATCCAGCGTCGGTGTTATGACTAACATACGATTACATGATGTTATGATTTCTAATTCTAAACCTGCTATGATATGCATTTAACTCTGAGTGAATCACAGGCAGATTTTGTCAGAGTTGTCAGATGTTCCAAGGCTGTGCCAATAGAATATTTCAGTATTTTCCATCTTCTTTTGCTCCTTTAGTGCACACAGTCGCAGGAGGAGTTCAAGTTGGAAGATCTGAAGAAATTGGAACTTAGTACGTATACTAGGAGGAATATGATATCGTCATCATTTGAATGCTTTATTTATCATTAGTTGAATGTTTTGGCAATGAAATGTGTTAATTGTGCCTTTCTCTCAACAGTTATCAAGAATATTCTGACATATAACAAAGATTTTCCTTTTGATGTGCAGCCAGTGCCCTTGAGGTAAGTTAAGATCTATGAACCATCACAATGCAGGCCACTTATTGTCGTATCCAATGTAGATACAGACAAAACCAGAAGCTTTTGGTTTAAGGACACAATAATCAGAACAGATCAGAGCAAATGATGCAGTAAAGCAAAGGGTATTACTAAAAATGCAACAATGGCTGCTCCATCTGAATGACATAATCTAATCTCCTAACAACATGCTGAGCCTGTAAATATTCAAAACAAGTAATCTAACTAATGAAATCTTACATTCAGGAGAATCCTTGCCCCAGGAGAGGAGGAAAACTTGGAGGTGGAAGAAGAGGAGGAGGATGCTACAGGAGCAGGCTCCCCAGAATCCTCTCCCAACAGAGTGCCAGGTAAGTACTCACAAAGTACTTGCAAAGTACTCAACAAATACTGTGTTGTAGTCGTAATCTATGGTGTATATAGAGCATTCATAACCATTGGTCACTGTATTCTGAATCTGTTGACTATGTCATTTTGCCATGGTTATTTCTTCTGGCTTTGTGTCCCTGTTTTGAGTGCATTTGTGATTGCCGTCTCCTCTGTTCCCTGTCTCTGTTGGTGCTCTGCATGGCTTCGTCGCTCTGTTCTCACTGCCTGCTCCATTCACAGCTTTGCAAGGTATGGTTTGGTTGAGCAATAAGGGGCTGGCATGGGTCTGAATGGGTCTATGTCTTATTATAGTTTTGTTGTAGCATGAATATGATTGCCTACTAATGGACAGTTTGTTATTATCAATAACCCTATACTACTACTACTAGATAACTTTAGTTGTTGAATCTACTTTACAATGTCTTTTTTTTTTTACAAGCGTTCACCAAAATGGGTATGTCATCTTAGCCTTACCTGTTAGTCAGTCTACAACTTCTTCTGCTGCCTATTATTGTATAAGTAAAATAATGCTGACAGTAATGACTTGAAAAAGGATCTGCAAGTATAAACACTGGTTACGTCCCAAATTACACCCTATTCCCTATATAGTGCAATACGGCCCCTATGGTCCCTAGTCAAAAGTAGTGCACTATATAGGGAGTAGGGTTCCATTTCGGACACCACCATTATATTGATTTCAGCTGCATTAGTTCTTGGAAAGTGGGAATGTTTTATGCAATTATTGTATTTCTTTAGAAAGTTACAGCTTTCATGTCTCCAACAGGTACATTGTTGCCACGGTTACCCTCAGAACCCGGGATGTCGCTGCTCACGATAAAGATTGACAAGATTGGGCTGAAAGATGCAGGGCAATGCATTGATCCCTACATGACAGTTAGTGTGAAAGGTACTATATGTAGGCTATATTGTTTAAAATGCTGAGATGAGTTGCTTACCTTCACATCTGAAATGGTAAGGTCTGAAACAGTGATAATCTAGACATTTTGTAAAAAGAATTATCTCTGTTGAGTTGACGCTTGACAGTACATTTTTTATATATTTTTCCTGCAGAACAGCCCAAGTGAATCTGAACGTTTTGTTTCCCAACAGATGTGAATGGCATTGATTTGAACCCGGTGCAAACAACCTGGCTCCCGAAAGGGGAAAAAACATCCCATTCAAAAATTCAGGC